TCTCTTCCCTCAACTCGTGGAATCCTCCAGTAGAGTCCATATCGATCTTCTGTTAGGCCATGTGTAAGGTAAGCGGGGACTGCATGAGAAAGGAAGCAAGAGTTAGCCTTATTTTTCCCAAAAACCATAAAAGTTAGAAAATCAACTAATATTAAAAAAGTCCTCGACAAGAACGAATTGTTTTACTTGGCTTTGCAACTGAAGCGTAGTAGCCACCAGGTCCACGGGCCGAGAAGCCACGAACTCCTTGAAGGCGCAAGCAGGGGCTTCCAGCAAGGTATATACCACCGGTTGCAGATGTCCGACAGCTGCCCTATGGAATCTAGCACAGGCAAGATAAGTCCAGAGGAACAAGCACCTCATCGACCCGTTGCTTGCCCGCTCTCCTTTGGGCAACTGCGACCTCCCCCTCTCCTCTGCGCGAGCTCTTGGGGACCACGAAGTGCCAAGGACACTCCTCGGGGGCAACCCCAAGCGAAAAGCCTGGTAAGGTGTAACCCCTCCGGCAGCATCCCGAAGCCCTCCGACTCGAACTCATATCCTCCTCAATAAGCAGCTACTTCCTCTTCTTGGACTTCTAGCCCATGTTTTTTGCTTTGAGCTCTAGTAACTGGGCCAAGAAGTCTTTCCATGTCGCTCCATGGTGTCACACTTTCGGCACCAATATGTATCCCTCCTAGGGGATATCACTGGGGATCACCTCGACTAGCTCGATTGGATCGACCTGGGGAAATATGAACCCCCTAGTTCTCATCGACGACTTTGGACCTAGGTGGATGATCGCTACGTGCCATGAAAATAGTTAGCGAAAAGGTCACCTTATTACAAAAAAAAAAAAAAAAAAAAAAAAAGGGGGGGGGGGGGGGGGGGGGGGGTCGGGGTCCTAAGTGTGAAGATACTTACGAGTATAGGGTTCCAAAGATGCTTCCAAATTGAAGAAACCATACTTTGTAAGTTGGCAATAGTCAGAGCAGTCTCACGTCGCGACTCTGCTCGGGTAAATCACCGAATGTCACAATTCGGTTAAAGTCTATCAGAGCCGTCAACCTGATCATCTTATTTTTTGCAAAGAGACAAAAAGTTCGTTAAATAAAAGAAGAGCTGAAGCAAGAGGGACAGTTTGCAAATCGAAGGAAAGGAAAACTTACTCAGCTCCCTAAATTGGCAAACACCATCATATTCAAAAACGAAAAATTGGTCTCATAAGCCCAACATTACTGGGGTAGTCAAATATTCCTCCCTCGATCGAAGATCGCTTCGAGAGGTAATAATAATCTTTATCTTTGCTCTTCTTAAAAATAAGCACATGCGAGCTCCAACATTGTCAGCTCGCCAAGACCATTTTCGTCATATGTGATATACAAGCAACCGCTATCATATACGCATTAGGGCATCTCCAACCCCAGCAAATTGGCGCAAAAAAACACCAATTTGGCGTGGGTTGGTACTCCAACCCACGCCAAACACTCCGCCAAAATGGCCAACACTGTAGCACAAATAAAAAAATATATATTTTTTTTTAATTTTGGTTTTTTTTAATTTTGTTAAGTTAATTAAATATTAAATTTTACACCAAAAATCATAACAAATTTGAGTATTTGTATTTAATTTAATTTGATTATTATTTATAATAATAAATTTATAATAATTATAATTTAAAAAATAATGAAAAATTAAAAATAGAACTTTATTCAATGCAAATATTAAACACAATAACATCAAAATAAAAAATAACACTAATTTAAAAACACTAAAATTAAAAGAAAATACAACCTAAACTAAAATAACAATTTAATATTTCGGTAGATTAGTTCCGGATCCAGTAAGATTATCAAAATATTGAAAAGAACTAGAGTTATTTTGAGATCCTGACCTTGTTGTGAGCTCTTTTTTGCAAATTCTTAACTGCTATTTTGAAAAAACTCACGTAGGCTTGGTACGATTATAGAATTCAAATCCTGCTCTTTTTTTTTTTTTTTTTGTATCATTTTATATTAGATGTAATGTTTTTCTATATTAAATATAATGTTTATTTGATTAAATAAATGCTTAATTTTATTAAATTAGTATAATTTTCAAAATAATTATTATTTAATAAAAATATCATTCCCAATATTTAATTAATATATACAAAAATAATGAGTGAAATAGATTAATTGTTGATTATTACAATAAAAGAAAAAATAAGAATATTCTAAAGAATATTCTTTTTGGTGTAATATTTGGTGTTGTGGGTTGGAGATAGAATAGTGTTTAATTTGGTGCAAAATTTGCACCAATTTGATGCAAAATTGCACCAATTGGTGCAATGGGTTGGAGATGGTCTTAGGTGTCAATTGTAATGGCGCGACCTCGAAGTGGTCGAGGATCAATCTGATGAAGGCGTGAAAAAGTATCAATGCCCCACACTTAAAAATCACCTTGGAGATCGCAACCATTCCCTCTGGAGGATTTCGCTGTGTACGTCCTATACTGGTAGACATCCATGCTAAGCGCGGACTGGTCTACCACTTTCTGTATCTTGTCCCGGGTGGCCATTGATAATGTCTCTTGCATGGGACTGCTGAGGTGTCTGGCGCCTGCGAGCTCGTCCCCTCAGCTACTCTGGTCGCTGAAATGTCCATTGCTCTTAAAGTCTAAAAAAAAAGGCGACATGCAGAGATAACTCAGTCTTCGTACAGTGTTCCATATGATGACATGGAAGAGCAAAAGAAATCCTAATTTACCTTCCTTAACCCCTAGAAAAACCCTAAAAACCTTTGAGAATGAATTCCCAAGAATCCGTGCCCTAAGTTCTCACTTTTTATAAAGAAAAAAGTTCTCTTTTTACCACTGTCTAGAAACATGCACCATGTAAGCTTACCATGCAGTTCATACCCACTATTACTGTAAAATCAAGCTTTTAACAAAAATAATATAAGAAAACAAAGGAGAAGTCCTCCTTACCTCTTGACTATTGGGGACGAACTTCCTGTCGTAACGAAGAGTGCACATCAACTGAAAGAAGAATAGAATGATTTCGTGAATGCAAGAGTGTTGTTTTTCTCTTTGAAAATGTGAGTTTTATGATAAAACTTGAGGCGAACCTGGGGTTTTATAGGGGGAAAGACGACGATTGGTTTCCCTAAGCAAGCAACGCTTGGGCGGGATACGTTTCTCGCCATTGATTATGACCACATGTCATTAATCCACGTGAAGAGCAACCTTCATGCTTCATGGATGCCAATCAACGTTTCCCTCCATTGGAGCAACCAAGCGTCGGCGCGGTTACCTCCTCCACATTAAATGCACTCTCATCAGCATTTAATGCTCTGAAAGGGAATGTCGTTTTAGCATGACTTACATTTAATATGCATGGCTGGCACTTATTGCGCAATAGACACATCTGTCATAATAAAGTTTATTTTATTTACCGGACTAGCTGTCAAGCGCAATGAATAACATCCAAAGAGGTCGTTCAAGTAAAACACTCTTCGTCGTGTATCGATTTCGAAGCGATGTGATCCCTTGTTTTTGATAAAAATGTGCTAAGTATTTTCAGGTCACGAGTGACAGATGAAATTCAAAGCATGTTAGTATAGCACTGAGTAAGGTCCGACCTAGGTCGCTGAACCTGTGGGAGAAAACCGCCTCAGGTCACTTGTGCTATCCTTAGAGACCTATGTTACGACCTCCTTACAGCTCGATGGTCGGGTTGAACCACTAGTTTCACATTATCTTAATTGCTTGTCTCATATAGCTTGATTAGGCGTCACTTGGGATAAATCAAGTCACGGCATAATCATGAAGTTCTCAAAGTTCAATCCTTAAAGCTTAAAAACTGGGGGGCTTCTGTTATGCCTAAAAAAATTAGGACTGATGTAAGCTCATGCCAGCAAGGGCCAATCAGAGTTCAAGAAGGCTTTTGCCATCTAGACGCTACCACATCACGTAAGGATGGAAGAGGTAAGGCTATCGTTAGTGTGGCAAGTGAAAGGCTGGCTTGTGAGTGGCTAGGAATTGTCCACCTGCCCAAACCCTACGCAATTTAAAGATGTCTCCCGTGCAGACAGTCAATGGGAAGCAGGTTAGGAATTGTACCACACCTGCCTGACTGCATTATCATGATTATTACCTTGAATCCCTCGACTATAAATAGATGGCTCCTCTCTCATTTAACGGATTCACTCATTTTTTAATTTCTCAAAAGCAGACCCTCTCTCTGTATTTAAGTTTTCCCTAGATTGTAACTTAGCTCGCTGTACGCGACCTAGCTATAATAATTCATTAATACACATACAGTGGACATAGGATTCGTTTTTGAATATCCGAACTACTTCAAAAATCGCCTCTTGTTTCTTCTCTCGTTGCACATTTTCATATCACGTGTAATTTTTAAGTTCGCTTAGCAGTTTATATGTACGAGTCATTGGTGTCAAAATCAAGCATCAACAGGGAGGAATAGGCCATCAATGAGAGAAGTTGCAATGGAATTGGAGGGGATCATGATGATCGCAAAAGGGTATCTATCTAATCACCAGAAACAAGTCAAAATTGAAACGAAGAAATCAACTAAAAATTGGGAATTGAGTTATACCTCATCTGGAACTTACACAAATATGAGCAGTGAATCTTCAACAATAGATGTCCAACCACTTGTGTTATATACAATGTGACTACTAAGAGCTTGTCTGGCTAACTGCTTGTTTGTTTTAGTGTTTCAATGTCAACTTTACATAAAGAAATCTGCATGTTTTCCTTCACATTTTTTTTTTTTTTATTATTATTATTATTATATCTAGTTTCTAGGATAGAATTATATGAGACTTTCCCAAAAAATCTATTGAAAAATTTCAATCCTGTGGCTTTAGCTTACCTGGGTTCCATGCACTCCTGATACTGATTTGTGGCATTTCATCGAGCAATAATACAACATCTTCACACAATATTGGTAAGTTTTGTATACACTCAAATTACAAAGCAATAAACTTTATGTAACAGCCGGTTCACTATCAAGATATTGTGAATTTATACGTGTCCCTCTTGATTCGAATCTAGGATTTCATATTTGGAAACTCGTGCATAAATTCACAATATCTCAGCAGTGGTCAAAAGGTTACATTTTATCCTAATATACACTCACACAAAATATAAAATTTGTATCTCTTCAATAAAAAATAATTACCAGTCGTACAATTATACTAAAACAATCTTTGAACATCAATAAGGCTTCAAAATTCAACATTAACTTGTCTTATTCCCACAATTACCCTTGCTAAAGATCATCAAAATTTATTTGATTTGCTAGTCACAAGTAACTCAAGAGTTTTATCAATTAGCAAGTTTCTCTTCGGGATGAATTATGACCACCACCTGATTTTTTTACAGAGAAAAGCCATCCAATTAAAGGCTTCATCATTAATGGCTTCTTCTTCGTCATCTTCTTATTACCCCAATCAAACGGTGATCTCTTCATCTCCATTTCCTCTTCTCCAACAATCACCTGCGCCAAAGCAGGAGGGCTCGCAAAAGTCACAAATCTCCTTTTCTGATCACATTCTTCTTCCTCTTTAGGGTTCGCATTTTCAACAAACTTGAGGTCTTCGATCTTGGGATAATTGTCGTCACCATCGTCGTCGTTGTCAACTGGCTGAGGCTTTAGATTATAATACTCTTTAGCCTTCATCAATTTCAGCTCTTTCTTTGTCTCTTCAAGCTCTTGTTTGAGGGTTCGTGTGCATTTTGACATCTTGGTGATTTCTTCTTTTGTTTTTTGCAGGCTTTGCCTTGCTCCTTCGAGCTCCGCGGTTAGGGCTCCGATTCTTGTTTTATGATCAGAACCTCCATTTTCGATGCTCGCTGCAGCTTGCTTCTAGTGCAGTTGCACATTTATTTAAAAAAAAAGATGTTCATCTTAATTTGTGCCCTAAATACACATGTTTAAAAGATTGTGGACGTCGAGTCTCATGGATATACATAGTAATCATCAGGTGTAGACGTTCTGATTTTTTATTTTTAAATTTTATCATGAAACAAAAATTTACTAAAATATTGTATATTTGTATTTTCTTAACCTAAGAAAACTTGATAAATACATTCAAATCTGAGAATTTTCATAAATTTAAGCAAAAATAGCGACGGTGCATGCAATGCAGAAATTGTTTAATTAGTTATCCATGCAAGTTAATTAAGTGAATCGAAGTGAAAACTTTAACCAAACAAATCAATGAAATAAACAAACAGATGATTACTGGGAATTGAGATAAATTAAAGAAGAAGAAATAGATCACCTCTTTGAGCTTGTAGCCATAAATTTCCTTAACCAAGACTCTTTCTCCGAACAACGAAACAGCTTCTTTTACAGATTTGAAAGGAGATCTTGTGTCAATTTCTGCACGTCCCATCACCACCACCGTTCTATTCTCTTCTTCACCTTTCATCTCCATGCTTGTTACCATTTATCAATATTAATTTAATTCAACAAGCCATCAAGTTAATATATTTATACCAAGACTTTAATTGAATTGAGAAATGGGTTTGCTTTGATTATGAAAATGCTATTGCAGGTGGTAGTGGAGGCACTGTTTAATTTCCTTTTAATACAAGTCTTACTTTTGTTTATATAGTTAAGAAGATGATCAAAAGAGATGGACCGATGATGATGATGAAACGGGTTGGACGGATCAAATTATTTATAAACTTTCATTAATTGCTTTACCTAAAGGAAGATAAACTAAATCATGGTTATGGCCTTTTGTTTTCTTCCCGTCCACTTCACTAAATATTTGTTAACTATTGTTGATATAGCTTTTCAATTTGATTAGGACCTTGCTCCTATAATGTCTAATGGAGAATTATTATTACCAATCAATAGGTTCATATTCAAAGTGAGGCATGGAGCCTACTTCCAAATAATTAAGTAATTCTAAGGTCTAGTTAACATATTAATAAGCTACACATCCCAGGTAATTATGTTCCAGAATTACATAATAATTGATGTATCGTTTTATATAACATTGATATATATATATAAATGAAGATCTAGAGTTGATATAGTGAGTGTCTGAGTGATACGGTGGAATCAGGAATTCTTTTTTGAGAAAATTGAATTTTTTTTTTTTTAACTATACATATAAAATTTATCAAGGTTGATGATAAAAAAAATCATATTAATAAAAAAATATATATATATGTAATATTATAGGTTTTATTATATAAACCTTGTGCTATATGCCCCTAGGGGGCCTAGGCCACTCTCTAAGGCCAACTATTAATGTATGTGGACACATGTTTTAAGTCTTGGGTCCCATAAGATTTTGTTTTGAAAAGAAGTTTATGTATGATGAGGTTATCTTTGTGTTGTATAAACGATCAAGACCCTCATTTTTTAATTGATGTGGGATTTTAGTATTAACATATATTATATTAAAAATGAACGGAAATGAAGATAAAATATCTACATGATAGATTTGAACTCTTTTTAATCTTGCAAAAAAGAGAAATAAAGTGTTTTTCAATTCAAAATTTTATAAAAACATGGAGAAAACAATGTGTAAAAACAAGAAAAAAGAGGACATCGTGGTGAATTTTAATAAAAATAATGTCTCTTTATTTTCTCTTTTATTTCCATAAATTTGTGATACTGGCAATTATTCATGCTTAACAAAAAGAGATTAACTGACATAGAAAACTAAAATCATGTACCAGAATTTATAGAATTTTCAATACAATTAAGTGACTAAAAATTATTTTAAAAATATTATGATATTATATAAAAAAAAAATCTTTTTTTTTTTTTTTCTTTTCAAAATCTCACTCAGATCAACCCAGACAGGCCAGGGGCTGCTTCCGCTCCTGGTATGATATGTCAACAGTGTAAATTAAATAACACATCACTTGGGATTAATAAAAATGAGGGTTTATATTAGGGAAGTTTTTATATTTTCTATTTTTCTTTTCTACTACATGAAACATCAAACTTCTAATATTTTCTGTAATTAATTTGAAAACTAACTTTTTTTTTTATTCCTATATATGAAAAGTATCACATCTGTGGCACAACAAAACAAGTCAATTATTTTACTTGTTAGAATAAATGAAAACAAATGTATATATAATATAGCATGACACAAATCATTGATCTATTGTAAATCAAACACTCTTTCGTTTTACTTTACATTATAATTTTTTTTATTAATTATTTAAAAAATATATGAATATATGATGAGAAGGTACTCTGTAAATACCCCCATAATACCATTTGCTTATTGAGATTATTAGTATTAGATGTGGACAATTAGGAATTTTACTTGTATGATTGGTCTGGCCTAAAACTACTCTTCAAAACTTAAAAAACCCCGTCAGGTACCAGCACTGACGCAAGCGTTATTAAAATCCCGTTAAAATTGTCAGATGAGGGTAAAAGTTTTAACACGTGCTTGAGGGGGTTTTCAAGTTTGGGAAAACCTCGGGGGTTTAAAGAATTTATCCGTTTCTTTGTTATAAAACAATATTCAAGGTTAAGGGTAAACATGGTATTTAACTTTATAGTAGTGTGAATTGTCAGTTGTTAACGTGAACAGATGATAGGTGTTTTGCATCATTATTGATACTTGAGGGGTTTTTTATATTTGACCAAACCTCAGGGGGTTTAAAATAACTATCTCTATAACATTTAGGGTGCGTTTGGTTCAGGGAATATTGTATTACTATAAGGGGGCGTTTGGTTCGGGGTTAAGTGGGATTACTAGGGTAATGTCATCTTAATTGTTGTCAAGTAATATAGATACCAGTAATCTTCAAATACCAAAGTGGTTACTATTGGTAATATAAGAGGTAACTGATTACCTCCATTTCTTAGGTTTTCTGAGATTACTAGGGTTATCTTTTTTTGTTACAATTTTATCCCTTATTATAAAAATTTGGACAATAATACCCCTACTTTAAAAACAATTTACATTAATATCCATTTCAATTTTACCCTGTTTAATTAAAATTTGGACAATAATGCCCTTATATTTAAAATATTTACAGACCACCACTGCCACCAAGCCACCACCACCCAGCCACCCAGCCACCACCGCGACAGCGGGTCAACCACCACGACACCGTCGGAAAATTGTCGGAGTCCCTAAAAAAGAAGGAAATTCTGTGGGAGGCTCCGGGAGGCTTTGATATGGCCGTTTTTGGCCATATTGATGGCCGAAAACGACGGCCATATCGGGCCAGATTGAGGGATCTGGCCGTAACGGCCAGGTCTGGTCCAGAAATGGCCAGAATAGATCTGGCCTTTTCGGCCAGATCTGGCCTGATATGGCCGATTTGACCATCAATATGGCCAAAAACGACCATATCGGGCCTCTTGGTCACGGTGACGTACTCACGGGACATCCGGCGTGGTTCGCGGTGGCGGTAGGAGGTGGGGGTGATTTCGTCATAAATTAAAGTTTTATATAAGCGGTGGTGTTTTAGCTAAATCTGAAATATGGGGGTTTAAAAAATTATTCAAAATTAATAATAAAAATTTATTTAATATTTAAAGGGGGACAATTTAGTAATTTAAATAGCATACCCCCAATTTATTCCCCATAACCAAACATATTAATATAACATACCCACCAACTAACCAAACATATTTTTCTAAAGATTCTCAGTAATCTTTCAAGGTAATCTATCTTTCCATATTCAATATTCCAGTAATCTACATTCCTGAGCCAAACGCCCCATAAATGTTATTTAATGGAAAGATAGATTACTTTAAAGATTACTAAAAATGTTCAGAAAAATGTGTTTTGATTAGATCAAAATAAATTAGTAAGTATGTTATTTATATATTGGTTAGGATGAATAAATTAATGGTTATGTTTTAGATTATGAATTGTCCTTTATATTTATATTTATTATTATTATTATATTATTATAGATTATTTTTTTAACCCCTTATATTTGTTAATTTAGCTAAACACCCCCACATAAAAGATTAAAAATTAACTAAAGCACCCCTAGCCATCTAAGAGGACAGTCAGCCACCACCATTGGACAACAGCCTGTAGTCACTAGAATGACGCACAACCAGCTAGATCTGGCCGATCGTGCACCAATATAACTATTTTTGGCCAGATCTACACTAGAATTTGGATGTTAACAACTCCAAATTTTTGCCGTTGTTAATGGCAAGAGATCTAGCAATTGACAGCTAGATTATGGTCGTTGTTAACGGATAAAGATCCTACCATCATTAACAGCCAAAATGTGGCCTTTGTGGCTTTTTGATTGTCGTTGATGGCAAGATCTCGACAAGATCGCGCACGACCGGCTAAATCTAGCTAGTCGTATACTGTTTCAACCACTTTGGTCGACAGTGGCCGTCGATGGAGCGGCGGTAGTTGCTAGTAGACAATAATGGTCTTGGGTGGCTTGCAATTTGTTTTAAACACAGGGCATCTGTCCAAAAACTTAATTATTAGGGGTAATATAATGGTAGGTTCATGTAAATTAATTTCAAATAGGGCATTATTTTCAAATAATTTATATAAGAGGTAAAATGTAACAAAATTAATATTATTTAAAATACCTAAGAAAATGAAGGTTATCAGAATACCACTTATATCAAATGTAATTACTATTGGTTTTGGAAGATTACCAAAATTTTATATTACTTAACAACCAAACGTAGTAATTTTAATATAAAGGCGTCTGCAACCGGACACCTTTTGCTCCAACTATACACCAAGCCACGCAAATTAGTGTTGAATGTCTAGTATCACACCAAATTCGGTACAATACTATTCATTCACTTAATTTGGTGTGCTACATTCATCTATCAAAACGTATTTTATTTCCTTATTTTTTTTTTTTTTTAATTTATTAATGTTAATTTATTATTATTTATATTAATATTTATAATAATTATATAATTCAAAAAGATGAAAATTAAAACAAACTTCATTCAATACAATATTAAACTACAATAACTCAAAATAAATTAAACTACAATATTCAAAAAAATTAACAAATTTAAAAACACTAAAATTAAAAGAAAATGCAATATAAACTAGAATAACATTTAGTATTCCGTTAGATTGGTTCCAGATCCTCTAAGATCATCAAAATACTAGAAAGAATTAGAGCTATTTTGATAGTTATTTTAAAAATTTTACCGAAAAATTAAATTACTATCAATATGAAATTTTACTTTTGTTTGTTGTTTGAATTTTTTTATTTTTTATATATTTTATATTAGATGTAATGTTTATTTGATTGAATAAATGCTTAATTTTATTAATTAGTATGATTTTCAAAGTTATCAGTATTTAATAAAAATATCATTCTATATTTAATTAATATATACAAAATTAATTAATGAAATAAATAATTGTTTATTAATAGAAGAAAAAGAAAGAGAATATTATGACGAATATTATTTTTGGTGTAATAGGTTAGAGATGTAATAGTGAATACACCAATTGGTGTTTATGTTGGAAACGGTCTGAGATAATACTACCTTAATAGTGAAGAAATATTCCCAACCAAACATCCCTTTAGTTTAAGATTGTACATATTAGCATCCCTTAGTGTATAAGATTGTACATATCTACCTCCCCTAAGTTTTAGATACATACAGTTACACCCCTTTAAGTTTGAAAATATAACCGATCTTCCTTATTTTTGTTACTCAAATAATTAAAAATATGGAATTTCAGTAATATCCTTTAGTTGATTACCTAAAATTATACTTTTTTTTCTAAAAAAAGGCACATTAATGAATTCATATGTCAACTAGAATTGTACTTTTTACATTAAAAAAAGGAAAAAACCCTTGCAACACTCATTTTCTCTAATTGAGTTGAAAATATGATAAAACCAAATTTTATTTAAATTTGATAAAAAAAATTAGGGTTATATTCTCCTTAGGTATAATAAAATAGAAAAATCTCTTATAGTTAGAGAAACAACAGAATTATCCTACAGTTAATTTTTTGGTGCTAAAATAATGTGGTGCTAAAATAAATGACAGAGTGCACTTAAGTAAATATTCATTCACTATCACAAATGGTACACTAACAGCTAAGGTGTTCAAAAGAACCGGTTGGAATCGGAACCGCGATACCCTGGGTTTGGTTCCGGTTCCTACCTAGAACCAATCGTCATATATAGGTTCTGGTTCCAAATTTTTGGAACCAGAACCGGAACCAGGAACCAAGAACCGAGACTAATATAAAATAAAATTAATATTAGGGGTTATAAAAACTTTTGTAGAAAAAGTAATTTGAATACATTTATATTTATTTCATAACTTTACAGTAAGTTGGTTTGACTTTTGAGAATTACCTTTATAAAGTAATGGAGTTTGTAATTTGAATTTATAATTTGTAATTTTATTTTTGTTAACAAGTGCCAGGTAGGGGGGTATTGTAAGTTTTTAAGGGTTTTTTTACCATTTTAAAAACTTTTGGGGGGTCATGAATTTTATAGGGTACCCAAACCGAAACCGGAACCGTGTTACAGGTTCTGATTCTAGGTACCTAGGAACCGGAACCGTCAGTTCGTTCTGGTTCCAAATTTCAAGGAACTGTCGGTTCCGGTTTCGGTTTTAGTTCCTTCAAAAAGTGCAGGTAACCCGGAACCGAATACCCTACTAACAGCTAACTAATGGCAAGAGATTTTTGTTATTTTCAAAACCTCAGGGGGATTTTTTTCTCTTAACTAAACTAGGGTGATCGAAAAAACCCTAAAATTTGTTTTTAAAAATTAAATAATTAAGGGAGGCTTTTTAAACAAAACCTGTGGGAAGTGAGTAATAATATCAAACTTCATGGGACGCACTAATTTTCTCCATATATATGATGTCCTTCTTCACCATCTTCTTAACGACGCCGTTTTAAGGTTCCTGGTTTTGCGTCTTCTTCTAAAATTCTCCATTCTTAAACCCCTACTTTCAGTTGCTTCCCTTTAAAGTTTAAACCCTAATTCCTCGTTGCTCTTCTTCTCTTTCTCACTCTCTCTCTAAAACATGATTAGAGGAGGCAGAAGCCACGTGTCATCACCTCCGGCCTTCTCCAATGACGCGAAACGGCTTCTCGTTTGTACGGCAATACGGTCTCCATCTTCAGCACATCCACCGGCTTACAGGTTTCACTTTCACTTTCACTTCCTTCCTCGTCTTTCTCTCTTATAATTTCATGATTAAAGGCTTTTATATTATGAATTTGGGGTCAGATAACGTCGTTGGAGGGTCACGCGGCGGGAGGTGACGACGGTGACCGTGGAGCCGGCGGCGAGTAAAGTATTGGTTATTGTTGACGGCGTCGCTGGATGGGAGCATTAGTATTGGGATTTCTCTGTGCCGGAGTTGTTGAAGACTGTTGATATTAAATTACCCATTTTCTCCATGGTAAGTGATTTTATTGAGCAAAAAAAAAAGAAATAATAATTGATGAATTGGAGGTTTTTTTTTTTTTTTTTTCTTTTTGTGTGTGTTTGAAGCAAGTTAAAAGCACTTTATATAGCTGAAAGTTGATCTTTTTTTTAAAACACATTGTTGTGTTTATTGAAATGAAATGGTGGAGGTGTTATTTTTGAATTAAAAAAAGAAAAGGCAAAGTAAGCACTGGGAATGGGAATGGGGTTAGAAACAAGAGAATTTTTTTTTTTAAATATGTTTTTTATTAAGTATTTTCACTCGTAAGTTCTTTATATCTATTTTTATTGGCCTTGGTTGAAACATGCTAGATGGAATATAGGGAATGGTTTTGGGAGAAGCACTTGTAGGTGCTTTTCTAAGAAGCACTTTGTAAGTTAGAAAACAGTTGAGCTGCTTGGTAGAAGCACTTGATTAATTTTGCTTTTTAAATGAATTTCTAAGTGTTTTCTACGAGGAAGTGTTTCACTGAAAAACTGATTTTATATTTATCTTGTAGTGTTTGGTTGAAATAGAAAAAAGTATTTTTGAGATAAAAACGCTTGAAGGTTGATAGGTGATTTTTGTGTAAAGCATTTCTTAGTTTAGAAAAGCAATTGAGCCCATTTGGTAGAAGCACTTTATATGTACATCTTCAAAAAATGCTCAAATATTTTTGAAGAAAGCATTTTTACTAGACATTGTATTACTTGAGGCGACTGCTGATTGTTATTACTTTGATTTTCAGGTTATTCCATCTTTATTAGGCCAACCAACTGAGAGAAATGAAAAACAACATAATATTTTTGCTTATGTGTCTGTTGAAGATACAAGAGAGACAACAAATCCACGCAAAAAAAAGCAGCCCAAACCCAAACCCAAACCCTTGCACGGAAGAATTTGCAAGTGTAACTTGACCGAGTCTCGTCTGGCCGGTGGAGTAACTTTAGCAGAGGTGCAATGATATTGTCCAAGTTTATAGCAATATTTATTAATATTTCATGATGCCTGCTTCTTTTGTTTACATTTCTGTTTGTGTTATTTAGTTATTTTGTCTACAAGACTGCCAGATATGTTGTTAGTTCTATTTTCTCATCTGATCTGGACTTAAAAAGTATCTCCATTTGCACATCTGCTGTGTTTTCATTAAGAATTTTGAGTTTCAATCTTGCAAATTGCATTAATTTTTAATTAAGATGGAAATCATGACTTGGGAATTATGTTGTTTTGGTTCTGAGTGTTTGGGGATAGCGCTAGAATTTTGACCATAATATTGTTAAATGAATGGAAAACTATATTATTTAGATGGTCAATTTTGTGCTTATGTGATGAAGTATCCAGAAATGCTTTAAACTTGTTAAAATAGCCTATCTAAAGTATTAGTATCAATATTAGCGGAAGCATTTGTTACTAGTATAACATTGCATGCATATTTGTGAACTTTACGTCCAACCAAGAAATTGAATTTAATTAGTATTTGTCCTGTTTTGGCAGATGAAAGTACCGCAGGTCATAACCATTAGTCCATCAGGAAAATATTTTGGCATTCGAAAACATCACAAGCTTCTCATATGGAAGGTACCTGATGTAGAATCTGAGCGTATGGTGATGAGGAAGATAACCATGCATCATACAAAGAAGATGACTGTTCTTGCATTCCACCCAACTCAAAGAATTGTAGCTGCAGGTGATGTGACTGGAAGAATTCTGATTTGGAGACGATTTGGCGATAAAACATTTGCTATAAGTGATGGACTAGTAGATGGGAATTTGATGAGCAGTGAAGAAGAAAGACCTGGGGTGAGGGATAATGATGATGCTGATTCATGCACCACGTGGCATTGGCACCCTTCTCAAGTAAATGTCCTCAATTTCTCTTCCGACGGAGCATATTTATATTCAGGTAGAGGAACATAACTATAAAAGCATAAAACTTAGCTTTTGTGGATGAAGTGGGCCTTGTCCTATGTGCAGCATAAATGCATAATGTGGTCAACAAACTAGATAAATGCATATACTATTTGCCAAAATTTTTATGTATGGAGAAATTATGACACTCGATTTTGTTAGCATTTAGGTGGACAGGAAGGAGTTCTTGTGGTTTGGCAGCTTGACACGGGGAAGAAGAAATTTTTACCCCGTATCGGATCTCCTCTTTTATATTTTACATATTCTCCAGATCCGTCACTTTCCTCTGTAAGTAGGATTTGTTATTTACAGAAATACAAAGTTGTTCCATATTTATTTGTTATCTCTGTTGAAACAGGACTTATATTTTTCACTATTTTTACTAAAATAAGGTCTTCAGATGTCTTGTGCAGATAATCAAATTCATCTACTAAAAATGCCTTCAATGGAAATTTTGAAGTCCATTTCAGGGATTAAGGTTTGTTCTGATCTGTCTGCTTGCACTTATAAAAAAAACTTTATTTACTTATATGTGGTTGGTCTTCTAATCATATAAAATGAAAATTGAGCAAGGAAATTTAATTGTTAGGAAACTATATGTAAGGTGCAAATCCTTGGATATGCAACGTATTGTCTGGTTGTAATAATGCTTAAAATCTGTATTATCAGCTATGTCTAGACCTTTGAGTAGTATGCTTTATGGAATTCCATGATAGTTTCTAAATCTTGAGATAAGTCCTAAGGATGATCACATTAGTTCTTAGGTTCGGGCCCAAGACGGCTTACAGTTGACTTGTCAGTGTGCTTGATGAAATTCCTATATATAGATTCTGTATGGCCTGTCTTTAGGCAAGCCTTTGAAAGGGCTTTGAAGGAATTTACTTTGACCCTTTCAGGTTTGGCATTGATATATGGGCGTATTTTATTGTAGTTATGATTTTCTTTTGCTATTTTTACATCTTTAACATGTATCAAGGATGCTCTGAAATTGGAACTCTCTTCTCTGGCAGCATTTATTGCTTTCTGCACGTGCCATTTTATGTTGTATGTATTTTGCTGATTTATATGAGAAATAAATTCCTTAGGCTCTCTAAACATGTTTGTGCTGTATTTTTCAGCTTCCTTGTTCAGTGCCTGAAGGATATGAAGCCTTATGCAGGGGGATTGCCTTTGATCAAAGTGCTGGGTTGGTTGCCTTGCACACGGGGAATTACTGCATCCAGTTTTATAGTCTATTGGATGACCGTGGTATCTCTGAGGTGAGTCTTTGTGGTTGATAACTTGATATGTAATTTTACTATTGTCTTATTCTTTGTTAGTATTTCTTCTCCTGATATATTCAGTTCTCTTTCGATAGTTTTGCAAAATCCCATTGAATATCAATTGAGAAATTGCTGCTTTCATTCTTTCTGGGTATTGCTGTAATATCACATCACCATTTCCTTCATTTCTCTTGTAGTTGAGTCAATGTAGTATCCATTTGGTATGACCTATTTATTGGTTAACAGATCTTTTTCAATGTTAAAAGTTTTATACTTTTTTTTTTTTTTGGCTTGTTGGTTGCGGTTTAAGAAAAGTTTACAGATGACTAACAGAGTAGTTTATTTCTATTAGAAAAAGTTCAAAATAGGGGCTTTTCCAATGGACTCTTTCTTATTTTATTAATATTTTTTTCTAGTTTAAAAATATTGAAGATATTGCCATGTTATTTAAAAATTCTACTTCATTCTTTCTTTAAAAGAAAGTCCTATTTAATAATTCATTACTGGAAAGCTTTTTGCAATTTTACATGACTAAACAACCAAGTTTTTGGTAAGAACTCCATCTTCGTGAGCTATAATATTATAAGTTTTACATAAAAAAGCCATACCAAACGGTCCCTTAATTTGGTGCTCATAATGGTATGCCTTCAATAACTTTCCAAGTTCATAAAATGTAATGCACTCAATAATTTTTTTTTTTTCATACATATGAATTCCCTGTCTATCTAAATTGCACTGAGTTGGTGAAATTTTCTAAATATGCCTTTTCAGGTTCAAGTCTGTGAGAGAAACCATCAACCTGGAGATGATGTCACGGTAAATAAAATGATTCAGTCTTTTCTTGGATCTTTTATCATTTACATTTGGATCTTGTACTACCATGTTTTTGGTACATTTGCTTACTGATATCTTTGAACATCACAGGTAGTGGTGACTTTAGTGGCTCTCTCCCAAGATGGCTCTATGATGAGTACTGCAGAACTCAAGATTGCTGAAGAGGGCATAGGGGGTCTTGTTTGTCTCAAATTTTGGGCCTCTGGATCTCAAAATAAAGAATTCAGCTTGTCCACCGTTATTTATGAACCTCATAGGTCTGGCCTGGTTTTAATTACTGAGAACAAACTTAGAAATATATGAAATGTTTAATAGGTTGCGATGACTTGTTTTTAAACATTGACATGATCTACAGGACACTCATATCTAAACATTATCAAAGTTTTTTTTTCTTTTCCTCTGTTGACCGTGACTATTTTCTTGCTTTCCTATTTTTGAAGTGGAATATATTAATCAGAAATTCTCAGTTGTGGCTGTTATGGTATAGGGATGCGGGCATATCGACCGTTGCTTTCCATCCTACCCGCCGTTTGGCTGTCAGCTCATCTTATGGTGGGGACTTCAAGGTAATTTTTTATTACTGGAGCTGTAGTCGATAGTTGTCTGCTTTTTCTGGAATTTACATTTTCTTTTTGATGTCTCAGGTTTGGATTTGCCATGATGAGTTTCAGCAGAAAGATCCTATGCTTCAAAATTCTGGCTGGAGTTGCCATGCTGTTGGATCGTACAAGTATGGTTCCTCCTTTATTTTCTCCTGTGGGGCTGTCAGTATGTTTTTTTGCCATAATGTGTAATATCTGACATGTTCATGTCAAAATAGATTTATCTGCTAAGATGAAGAGATTATAATATTTTTATCAAGATACTAAAATACATTTCATTAAGAATTGGATTTTTTTTTTTCTCTGTAATACCTCTTTGTAGTTTTGTTAATATTGTCTTTAAGCATTTAGAAGATATTGAATTTCTTTCTGGGTGTATTTTTTGTCATGCAATTTCAACAGACATTCTCACTACACCTGCTTGATTGTTTTAAAGACACGCGTAGCTAAGAGAGCTCTTGAAAAAGTATGCCACTAAATTGGCATGTAGACACGAATATGTTTCTGCTTTGACATGTGTATAACTTATATTGGCATGTCACTGTTTTTCTGATTTGGCATATGCATAGCTTGATTATTAAACTCATGAATCATGTTGATTTTTATTAGATTATATTTCACCTTGTAGAAAAAAGGCAATGACAGCAGCTGCATTTTCTGCTGATGGTTCTGTGCTTGCTGTTGCAGCAGAAACCTTAATTACATTATGGGACCCAGATGAAAATGTTCTTGTTGCCGTAATTGGAGAGACTCTCACGGTGATTCTCTAAATTCTTGACAATCTACATCTGTTTTTGTGCTTTAGAACATATATTTTGTGAATGATGATAAGGATGCATGCTAATGTTTCTGTCTTTTCACACTTGCCTTTGGTCAATAGAATTTGGAACACCATCTATTTCAATTTCGTAAGATCAAAAACCTGGATGTCCGGGAGCCATTGAGGATGATTTTTTTTTTTTTTCACAGAATAAAAATACAAAGAGGAGTTAACCAATCAAATTCTGTGTTAAATCTTACACCCAAATATATTACCCGCAAAGAATGACAAGAAGTCCAGAAGTTGTGAAACCCTTAAGAGGAAAGACGCAAAGTTTCTTAATGATAGAATTAATTGTCCATATACATGTTCCTAGTGTTTGTAAAGAAGGGAATGGACTGCCATTTCAAGTCATTGTTGTCTTTTGTTTCTTGTACTTCTCATGCTAGTACTGGGTTGCTGAATATCTTAAGTTGCACCGATTTGTATAATGGGGTGTCAAATCTTTGTTTATCTAACAGGTAACTACTAAGTTGCAACAACAAAATTAGGAGAAAGAAATAGTAACTAAGAAGTGCGTAGCACAGGAGAGGGGAAAAAAAGGACAATTTGGGAAATTGGCTTACTATACTTGAGCTCATTCACAGTTGTGTAACATACTATGGCTTTGTATTATGCTATTGCATTCATGAATGAATTGGTCTCTTGCTCCTCTTTATGTATTTTTATTTGCATTTTTTACTCTTTTGTTCATAATTTAGTTATTTTATGCAATTTGATACAGCCAATTATGAGCCTGTCATTTGTTGGAAAGTCTGAGTATCTCGTGGCTACATCTCGGGGTTCAAAACCGCAACTCTCTGTTTGGAGTATGTCAAAGCTGTCTGCATCTTGGTCATATATGCTTCAGATAGAAGGTGAATCTCCACTTGCTTTTGTGTCAAAAGCAAACTGACAATTTGATTTTGCTTTTGGTCCTCTAAAGTATCACTGCTCATCTTTACCACTGTTGCGTAATAGTAATAGGAAGACAAGTGTGATTTATGGTTTCATGCTTGTATTTTAGGGAGATGAGTTTTACTGGATTGAGTAAAAAAAAATTAAAGCCTTAAATTTGGTGCATGCTCAGAATGGCTGTGGTAGTTCAGCTTTTGAATTGATGCCATATCTATTTCAAAAAGGAACTGAATTTTTGGTTATTGGCTTTGATATGTAAATATGTACAGCTGTAGCTACTGCAGTAGATGCGTCATCCTTTGCAGTTCTTGCTCTTCTTCCTGAATCACCTAAATGCAAGGAGTTAAATGGAACAGTGTTCCAAGGAAGAGATGGGGTAATCTTACTTTTCAATGCAACAGATCCTGTTCCGGTGGCTTCCTGGTCTGTGAGGAAGGTATTTGTGATTCTTGCCCAGATTATGCAAATAAAATTAAATTTACTCTCTTTGTTGTGACTTCTAGTATCACGACTTCTGTTCATTTTCTGATTCTTTTCAATTGACTATTTTATCAACCTTACATTCTGTGGTTAATTCCTCCTTAAGACATATTGGATTTATCATTTAACACAAACTCTCATGGCAAATATTTGTATTTTGTAATAGTATGATTCTATTCTATTGTCAGCCCATCATGAATGAAAATGGATATTGCCACCCATAAATAAATTAAATGGAAAGTTAAAAAAAGACTTATTTTGCAGGATCAGAAACTATAGTAGGTATCATTTATCATTTAACAGAAGAGGTAACTGTTTGCATATTGTTTTGGTATGATCTTATTGCCTGTCCATCATGAATGAAAAAGGATATTTCTAGCCATTAAAACATCAAAAGAATGGAAAGAAATGAAAGACTTATTTTGCAGTATTGGAAATTATAGTATGTGACAGTCATGGATTTTGAATTACTGAAATTATCTGTTGGCCCAAGGAATTTGTTATAATGAAGGTGATGGTGATTTGTAAATGCTGTACATGTAATGCATCTAGTATGGCAACATTTTTTTATCTTTCATTTTTTGATGAACAAACCTAATTAGTGGCGCAGTTTATATATTTATTAATCACATTTTGTTATAATAAATTAGAATTTGCAAAGAAAACTAGTCGAATCAAGGAGACAAAAGAGGGAACCTGGGATCTCCTATAATCTATTATAGAAGTCAAAATGTTTTAATATTGTGCTATATAGAATTATAAAGTTCGAAATGTCTGGTCCCTATTGCCTAAAGATTCAAACACAATAAGTAAATGAGGAATATAACTCTGCAGGATTTTATAGATCCTCGTTATCAGAAAGTATGCTTAATAGTTGCTGTGATTTTGTGTAATACTATAGCTTGTCTGTTTTCTCCCCTTGGAAGGAGGTAATGCACACATAATATATTGCTCAGTAAATCCATCATTCTGCATACCAAATTAGAAAATTGTTATATTCTAATTTTTGGTCTTCTTTTGCAGGCCAAGGGAGGTTTCCTTGCTTTTCTTCAAGTAAACCCATCTTCTATACAAGAGTATATTTCAGATGGGAAACCACCTCAAACATTGCTTGCATATTTGAATGCTGATCATGAGTATGTTCTCTTTGATCCATATGGTGAAGAAACACATGAGCTTAGCGTGATTCACCGAGAGGATCTTCTGGCCTCTGAAGAATCAGGTTGGTCACCATTGGTCTGATAGTAATTATTACAACAGAATATTTCAGATCAAGTTTTTTATTTTATTTTAGTTAACAATTCTTTACAGTAGCTTCTTTTGTACCTGAAGCATCTATGATTTATATTTATTGTAAACCCTACTCTACCTCTCCCTAAGCATGAAAATATTAAATTCTTGTTTCATTTTCTTCCATTCTTTCCTTGACGACAGGGCAATATGGTTATGCATCTATTTATGGGGAACTACCGGAGTTCCAGCTGAAGAAAAACCAGGCTACATGGACCCCATCTGCCCCATCGGAGAAACCTTGGGAGACCATTTTCAACGGTTCATCACATAATCTTCCACCTCTCACCAAATTATGCTCAGCATTTTTAGAGTCACTTCTGGAAAAGCGAACTGCTGTTGTGAGTGATTAAATACTGTTGTTTCTTGAGCCAAGTCAGTATGGCAAATACCAGTACACCCAGCCAAGTCATTTAACGCATGTTTGAAATCCAGAACGCTGCACGGTTCACGTGCAAACAGTGTGATCCGGTAGTGTGAATTAGCAGAAAAAATGCTTGTAGCTGAGATCAGTGATTCCAAGATGCAGCTGGTATTTAAAATTTAAGAGAGCCTGGATTCTGGCTTTCAAAATTTTGGTAGGGTATGTTCTGAACTTTGATATTGTTAGCAGATGAGTTTTTAGCCTTTACGTTAACGAAAATATTCGATAGGAGAGTATGTTTGTTTGGTTAGAAAAATTCTGTAATTTTGTACCGAGAGCAACAGTGTATAGTATTTATTTCGGTGAAGGAAGATTTTTCAGATTAGTCAAAAACTGTACCAACTCAAATACCTTTTTAAGTAAAAGCTAATATTGTTTTTGTTGGAATGGATTTCACCTTTGCATTTGTAGTAATATTTCTATATGAATTTTGGGACACTAAGGATGCCTCTTTCCAATTAGTGTTTCTGCTGATCTGCTCAACTAAATGCAACCAAGGGGTAGAAAATATATTTGTAATGAAAATACTACACTTATCAATTCTACTTTCTATCTCGATTGACGTGAAATGCGACTAAAGGAGTTCTTATGTCGATCATGTTACACTTCATATCAATCGAGATGAGGAATCGGTCTACACAATCAGTAAATGTAGTCTTGTTCTATTTGTAAATAAACTAGAGTTCTGGCAAATATTGAGTTTTAAGACAAATGACTGGAAATTTGGATTTTATTATAATAGTATTTCTCTAGTCGAAGAACTATACTCAATCACAGTTAAATCCTTACATGGAAAATATTATTTCAATCAGTACATCTAACGATATTCAAATGTAATTCTGATATAGTTATTATTATTAGAGAAATTTCGATTATCGTAATTCTTAAATGTAAAATTGGTTAACAGTTTTAGCCAAAACTGACTTTGTGTCGTTGCATTTAATTAATAGAATTTCTCTATTTAAATTCTTTTCACCAAATATCAGTAGTGGCAATGCCAACTGATTGACTCACTGGGTAGCTGGTTTATTAAACTGTGTGAGTTTGAAAGTCAGTCTCACCAAACTATTCAGAAATGGCCAAATCAGTAAGCCAATAGAAACTGACCATCTGATTTGATCCACGTGTTGCATGCATGATCTTGTCACGTGAAACAAGATAATTAGAGTTGTGTATACTATATATACAGAAACTCCAGAATCATAATTATTGAAATAAATAAATAAAGACTGGTCACGTGAAACTTGGTTATATTTTCTGAAAGTTTGTTGATATATATACCTGTGGACAATTAGATAAATAAATACAATAGCACAGTGATCTCATGCTCTCGTCTCCATGATAAGCTTCAAGAACTCCATCGTGATGCAAAACATGTTTCATTCAGTTTGAAAAATAAGATAAAACTAGGACTATAGGAAGGTCGATGATTTTTTATATCCTAAAATAAATTTCCCACCTGCCCTGCACTATACCTAACTTTTTCATCTTAATTTTTTTTTTTTCCCTTAATTTTATAATATTTAGTTTTGTTCGGTACATTAACATAACTACCTTTCTAACAGTAAGAGACTGGAAGACAAAGCCTCCAATCCATTAAGTAGCTATAAAAGTTTGAAAGTTAGTGCACCAAATTTATTTCTTCATTTATCCAACAATGGCAGCACTGGAAGCAAACCTCTCTTCCAAATGCTCCACAACGTGTTTCCAAATACTTCTCCTACTTGCTTTCTCCACCATTTTTGCTTCCGCTAAAAATGTCATCACCCATCTCCCTGGTTTTGACGGCGAACTTCCTTTCTACCTCGAAACCGGGTAAGTTACATTATTAGCGCCTTCGCGATTTTCTGATAAAAAAACAACAAATGTATGACTTTGCGGGTGATTTTTTTTTTTTTTTTGGTTTTGGTTTTGGTTTTTGTTGTAGATATATTGGTGTTGGGGAATCGAATGAGTCGCAGTTGTTTTACTATTTTGTGGAATCACAGAGGAGTCCTTCCCTTGATCCTCTAATGCTATGGCTTACTGGAGGTCCTGGTTGCTCTGTTCTCTCTGCTTTCTTCTATGAAAGTGGTAAGTTAGTTTTTTTGTTTTTGAAAATGTTTTTTCTTCTTTAGTAGAATTATCATCGTAATGTTTTTACAAAGTATTTCCATAAAAAGGGTATTATGGGATGCTTGAAAATCTCCATATATATAAGATTCAGAAGTGTAAAAGTACTTCCAGAAAACACATTTGTAATGATATTCGAAACACAAAGTTTACGATATTGTTCAATGCAATCTTAAAGACTTATGACAGAAGTTGCAATGAATTATTTTTAATGTCAACTTAATAATTGTTAAATTGAAAATTCGTATTACAATAGTCAAATCCTATATATATATATATATATATATATATATATGCAAAAATACAAAAACATAAGTGAAGAAAGTTTAGTAGAGAGAATACTACCATTGACTTATTGGTAGAGGCGTAGACCCCAACCCCAATAATTACTTGGGCCTTAAAATCTCCAGTACGTATGATCACTGGTAAATTATAATATTAATAAAAATTTATATATTTTAAGTCTCGGAATATAAAATTTAAGAAGTTTAATTTCATGATGCGGAATTTCGGATTAAACTGCTGTATTTCATTTGCGCCCTGACTTTAAAATTAATGAATTTCGGATAATTCAATCTTCTTGCAGGTCCAGTAGCTTTTGATTATGCAAATTACAATGGAAGTTTACCATTACTCCACCTAAACCCTGATGCATGGACAAAGGTTCTAAACAATAATTCACTAATTTAAATTAATTACTGAATCATCTTTTATTTATTTATTTTTGTTTTCCAGGGCCTCAACATACTATATGTAGATGCACCAGTTGGCACTGGATTTTCCTACTCAACAACTGCAGAAAATTACTATGTTAATGACACCAAATCCGCCTGGCAAACCTATGAATTTTTGCAGAAAGTAAGTAAAAACGTAAAATCGGCGAAAGCCCTGATTTTTTTAAAAATCCGCACCAGACTTCTCGCATTAAGCATTTGCTAAAATATTGTCATTTGGCAATTAGCATACAAATTATGACTCTAAAATTTGGATTTTCATTTGTCTAATTGTTGTTGTGCAGTGGCTACTTGAGCATCCACAGTTCTTAAAAAATCAATTTTTCATGGGGGGCGATTCTTATTCTGGCATTCCTCTTCCAATGATAGTTCAACATATACTTGATGGTAACTACTTATTTTCCTGGTGACATATTCACTTCATTTTTTTCCTGAAAAGCACTAAAGCCTGAGTCATTTCCTGGAAGATTGATTTAATTTTATTTAAATTTCCTGCAGGAAACAATGAAGGAATGAAGCCAACCATAAACCTGAAAGTAATTCCCATCCTTTTTCTTAAAATGGTTCCAGATATGATACGTTCATCTCAGTTAAGACTGCTTTTTTTTTCATTAATGGTTATAAACTTGATTCTTCAAAATTTTTACAGGGATACATTCTTGGAAATCCAAAGACTGATGATTACATTGACAGCAATTCATTAGTACCATTTGCCTTTCGAGTAACACTCATTCCACGTGAACTTTATCACGTAAATATCGATCTCCATCTCTCAATACAATTATCTCTAAATTTAATTACACAAAACTCGAATATTTTTCATCACAAAACATCACTCATCTTGCGTTTTAATTTCCAGTCTGCAAAGTATTACTGCAATGGAGATTATGTCAACATAAATGAAAGCAATACAGGTTGTGTTGCAGCCATTGATGCATACGATCAGGTCAGGGAAAAAAAACCCTTTCACTATAAACCCCATCACCGAGCTTGAGCATATGAACCAATTTTAATATATCTATTATATATATTTTTTTTTTTTGTTTCGTGCAGTTGGTTCTTCAAATAAATACTATGAATATTTTGGAACCGATTTGCCAAATTGCCAAACCAAGAAAAAGTATTGAAGGAAGAAGATCAGCTGAAGAGATTGAGCCTGAAGAAATTCCCCTTTCCAAAATTAAATCCGGAAAGGCACTGTGGTGCAGGGTAAGTAATTCCAGCTCTCTCTCTTTTTTCTTTATTTTTTCTTCATATATATTTTTTTTTTCAACAATTCCAGGATTCGGATGACAGATGACTTATCAAGAGCCTTCAACTTTCTTTCAGGATTATAATTATGTTCTATCTGCAGTTTGGGCTAATGCTAGAATTGTCCGAGAAGCTCTCCATGTTAGAGATGTATGCACTTCTACACAATTTTCAATGTAGCGAAAATGATTCTTGTGTTTTTCAAAATCTCGAACGAGAGACTCGAATTAAAAAAATCTATATTTACAATAATTATTAGATTATAAATGCCATGGAAATGTATGTATTTTTTCAATCAGGGCACAGTTGGAGTGTGGAAGAGGTGCAATTCCAGCATAGCTTATACAAAGACTCAGTCAAGTACTGTTGGTTATCATAAAAACTTTACAAGCTCAAGCCTTAGAGCTCTCATTTACAGGTGACTAACTCCAACTTCTTCAGGAATTGTTTTTCATTTTAATTAGAAACACCCTCTAATTGAAGAATGAATCATAAATTTTATCTTTTTCATGTCATTTTTCATTGATTACATTGTTAAAATTATGTAGTGGCGATCACGACTTCTCTGTTCCACATGTTGGTACACAAACTTGGATTAATTCACTGAATATGACTATATATGAATATTGGCGAGCATGGTTTGTACAGGGTCAAGTTGCCGGGTAAGTCCGACACAAAAGCTCTAACCAGGGTAGAATCTTGATAGTTTTATCAATCGTTTCACAGATTTTCCAGGTTTGTGATGTCCATGGCAATGGATTTTACTAATTAATTATGCAATTTTTCTCATGTATGCAGTTACACAGAGAAGTTAGTTAGTAGTGACTTTACTCTTATATTTGCCACAGTGAAGGTAAGCCTCAATCACCTAATTAGCTATGCTCTTATAAATAAATATGCTACAAAATTCAGAAGAAATTAACCTAATTTACTTAGAATCTGGATTAAAAATAAGGGATTCAAGAAAACGCACATGGTTTTAATTTTTTTTTTTTCTTAAAAAAATAGATTATATCTAATTCTAAAAATTAGTGTAAACTTTAAATAAAAAATCGTTCTTTTTGTTTTTCATACTTTTTTTTTTTTACTTGAAATGGTTTTCGAATATAATATCAAAAGCGTTTTAGAATATTCAATGAGTAGAATATAATTCATATTTCAATATTTTGCTTTATAATTTTTTATTATTATTTTTAAATTCCGATGATGAAACAAAATGCTTATATTTGTATTGCTTCTTATTCCAGGGTGGTGGTCATGTTGCTCCAGAGTACAAACCGAAGGAATGTTACAAAATGATCGAACGATTCATGGCGTATTACCCTCTGTAATTAATTATTAATTTCAGCTTAAATATTTCTGATCACACTTTGTATTAGCAGAAATTTTAGTAGGCCATTTATGTTCCTTAGGCATAAGCTCTTAAAGAAGCTTAAGAGAAGTGTGGAATTGAAGCCAGTTTTGCTGTAAAAGTATGTGTTACAAGGACAAATAATATATTGCTTCTGGGTAGTTCTCTGATATCTAGTGATGGAAATATTTGAAAACATGCCTCCTTCATTTTAATTTTGTAAATTTTACACACGTAAGCAAAGTCAAAATATGCTAAAAAGCATATATTGTTAACATGCTAATATGGAATTTGCTTACAAAATATGCTAAAAAGCATATATTATTAACATGGAATATGGAATGAGAATATTTGACATTATTCACATTTCATATCATTAACATGGGGATATAGAATGAGAATATATGACATTATTCTCATTCTTATTGTGTATAAGATATTTTTTTTTCATTTTTTGTATAAGATATTATTCTTTTTTCTTTATTGTAGAGATTGTATCATTATTGTAATATTTTATATCCTTACATAACTATTACACTTTTGTATAAATAGGTTGTATATTCATTTATAATACACAACAACTCGATACAAACAATTCAATTCAATTGAATGCAATATTTCTCTCTCAAAGATATCTCTCGAGCATACTCCGACTTTCTTCAATTGTCTCTCTTGCTGTCTCAAAGATATTTATCACCCAAAGGTAATTTTTTTTTAAAAACTACCTTTGGGTGACTAAAACTACTTTTGGGTGACTAAGCGGTTCGATAGAGACTTTTGGGTGTATTATTCAAGAAATTCTAAGTTTAAATCCCTCCTCGGTTGTTAATAGAGATAGCCACTGGAGCTCTTATCCAACTAGTAGTTTTAGGGTCCCGAAAGATTAGTTGAAGTGCACGTAAGCTGGCTCGGACACCCCAGTTATTAAAAAAAATGCTTGGAGAAACTTTAATATCGATAATTATGTCCGTACAGTTTTTGGTAAGGCTATAGACAAAATTGTAAATACTCAAGTCTGGCATACTGTGTCGTTTTTAAGAACTTATAATTTGTTTAATTTGTAATAAAAATCACTTCCCTTAAAATAATATATACTATCTATTGATGGAAATATTTTTTAAAAACGTAGATCCTTGAATTTGTTTTATAAATTTCACCCCAAACCCAGCCCACCATCCCATTTCTTGAATCGAATATTGGGGTAGACTAGGTAAGATATGTTTGGGTTATGGACCTATGGTATACCCAATCCAACCCACTTTGAATGAATCCATTGTATTATTATTATGAATGTTTAATATTATCATCATAATATACTTTAAAATAATTAGTTTTAGACATAACTATCATTAATATTGTTGATGCGTGATTTTCACCCCAATGACTTCGCATGTGTAAAGTGCTATGAAATTACACATGAAATGATTATCGGAGTTGATTATGGTGTAGTGGTGATGTATGTTTGTAGAAACATAAATAAAAGATTGACAATAGAAATTTTTATAGTGGTCTGGATGCTTATAAACAAATCCTATGTCCACAGTTATTTTATTATTCTCTGGCTATTTTTCTGATATCGCCTGTAAGGCGTACAAAGATGGAGTAATGTTTTATTTACAGAGAAAAATAATGGTTGAAGCTCAAATTTGTGCCCAGCTCTCATATGCCCAACCCCCTATTTTTCATGAAGAGATGTGCCTATTTATACATTTGAGCTCAATGTAATGAGTGTTTTTGCAAGTTGTGAGGACACATAGGAACCCCTCCCTAATCCTTATCTTAAAATAGGATATGATTGATATAAATACTATTGATAACAATTTAGGTCGATTTGGTTTTGACAGCTAATGTTATTTTGTCTTTAAGTGCTTGCCAAACTTTGATTGATGAGACTGACAGCTCATTTTGATTGCTAGTGTTGATGTCAGTGTGTATTTTTGGCATAACAAATATTATTATAAATAATTAACTATATATTTCAAAAATAATTATGTGGTGTAATTAAAACAAAATTCATGACAAATAATTAATTTTATAATAACTTGATCTAGTGTTTGTCAATAAAATCAATAAAACTCTTTTAAAAAGTGTTGAGAGAAATATTTCTATAGCATCATCTCAATTGTTTTATCTACATAATCATTAAATAAAGCATTATCAAATATTATGTCATCGATATATTCATCAAATAAAGCCATATTATATATACATAATTTGTTGGAGTCCCACATCGACTAAGCACGCTCAAGCTTACTAGTTTATTCCCATTCAATAAGGCCTTATTGGGTGAGAAGTTAGGCCCACCTCAAATTCTATTATGGTATCAGAGCCAGGTTCAGTTGAGTTGAATGTTTGACTAGCGGGTGCCAGCAACTACCTCCATCAACGGAGGCATAATCCAACATATGAGCTTCACCGTAAGAGGGAGTATTGGAGTCTCAGACCGACTAGGCACGCTTAAGCCTACTAGTTTATAAGAAAAAGTAATCCTTCTATTCAACAATGCCTTATTGGGTGAGAAGTCAGACCCACCTCAAATTCTATTAATTTGCATAGAACAATTGTTAAATAATAACTAATATAGGTAATTAAAAATAACATATTAAAATTAGAGTGATATACATTTTATAAAAATCTTGATACAATGAATTTGAATTTCTGTCCTTTTTAAAATGCATTAAATGTGTAAACTATGTATGTAACACCCACATCAAGGTACGTAATTTTATTTGTACCCTAATACCCTTAGTAGGATTTCTTTGATGTTACCTTAGACAAATGTGAAGAAAATTCCTTAAAACTTCATTAGGGGTAAAATGGTTTTTTCACTCATAAGTAGATGAAAAAATGGGAAGTGAAAGGAAGCAAAATAATGTGAAGAAGATAATAAAAATAAGGGTATTTTGGTAATTGATTAAAGGATATAGATGGAATTTCATAGAAAGTGCAAAGGCAAAATGGGAATACATGCATATAATATTAGATATAAGGTTTCATTAGAAGAAACCCTAGCATATATTCAGCCCTTGTACAAGCCACCCTTACCCCTTTTTCTCTCAATTTTCTTCACTAAATTTCAAAGGGAACTCATAGGATTTGGTTTAGATTTTGATAGATTTTCAATTTTAAGCATCCAAATGTAAGATTCTAGCACAAGGTGTGTGATTAACCTTTAAAGTTTTAAATTCTTATGGTTTTTATATGATCTAGGTCCAAGAGGAAGAGACTTTTAGCAAAAAGAGGTGATATCACACATTCAAGGTAAGTAAACCCAATTTTAGCCTTGATTTGAGCAAGACTTGTGTAGAATGATTCTTGCATGTTTTTATGTGATTGTATGTGAGAATTGTTGGCTGTTTTTAATGTTGAATGATGTATAATTTCTGGCCATGAAAAGTAGTGCTTGAGCATGTGATGAATTGGTGAAATTATGGAAGAATTAGTGTTAGAAATTTTGAAGTGTTGAGATTTGTTGAAAACGGCCTGGTTTGATGCTATAGTTAGTGAGTTTTTGGCTCAAATTTTGGTGGATTTAGAGAGATGTGGAAGTGTAGCCAACATGATAGTTGCATGTGCATATGAAGTGTTTGATGAAAATCCAAAGAGAAAATGCATGCATGAGTTGGCTAAACTCTATTGAAGAAAGGGTTAGAGAAAGGCAAGAATTGAAGTAGAAAGATTATGTTGGGCTTAACCAAGTGTAAATGTTAGTATTCAAGGGTGCATAATGTAATGCAAAAATTTAGAATATCACTTGGTCATGTTAGTTCCATGAGAGAAATGGCCCTTAGTGCTTGGTTTTAGTTTCTTGAACTTTTACTACTTCTTGAATAGCACATGAAAGTGTTAGAGAAGAATTGCATGTTAAAGTGTTACTTTGATATGGCATTTGAGATAGTAAAAATGGTAGAATATGTTATGACATACCATGCCATAATGAATTTTCAAGGTTGTGTATGTGAACTTGGAAAGAATATCAAAGAATGGGCTTGATCATGCATATATTGTGCATATGATTTATATATAGCCTTGATTTGGTAAATGAGAATAGTAAAGAATATGTTAGCAAAGAATGAGAAAAGAAAGAAAAGAAAATGGCTTGTTTTCTTTTAAGCTAACATGCAAATATGTATTTTTCTCATTTACTAAAGAATGCAAGCGTAGAATTTCCATAGCTTAGAAATTTATTTGGAAATGTGTATAGTATTTCTTTCTATTCTCTTTCTAAAGCATGCTATGTTATAAGGTTGTTGCGATGGGGAACCCGTGAGTGACAGAGATGCCCACATGCACGCCGCCATTAGTGAGCGGCCTCAGCAGAGAGATACAACACTTGTACAGTCCGTTAGCAGTGCATGTGGATGAGACTGTATCCAACAGAGAATACCTACATGCACAACGCCATCAGTGAGCGGCCTCAGCAAAGAGATACAACATTAGTACAGTCTGTCAGCAGTGCATGTAGATGAGGATTGTACCTAGTATACACTCACATTGCCAGGGTTCCAAATTCATGCCTCAACCTAGTCCAATCGGCAAACCAGAAGAGAAACAGGACAAGAAAGAGATACGGAAAAGAAAAGAAAGAGATACAGCATAAGAGACAGAAAATAAAAAAGAAAAGAAAGTTCTTTTCTCAAGAAAGTTTATTATTTTGTATATGTGTTATGCTACTTGCATGATTCAGCATTTCTTATATGCTCGACGATGTACAGTTTTATTCATTGTCTTTGCACATTGGTAAGTAGCAAATCAGAATATTAGAAAAGAATGCAGAATATCAAAAAAGAATGAAGAATAGTAGCAAAGATTAAAATGAGAAAAGGAAAATCAAAACATGAGTAACGAAGGAAAAACAATAGTGCAGTTTGGTTTACTTGCTGAGCAATTAGTGCTCACTCCATTATTTTACTGTTTTGCAGGTACTAGATAATTTATGATCGGATAGGACATCAAGAAGCGGAGGAGTTTGGCGATACTGTCCAAGACTACCTTGTACTTATTAAATTATATCAATTATTTTGTGTAAATACTTATCTGAATTAAAATTAGAATTTTCGGATTTTACATTATATATCTCTATGTATATATGTTTACAAAAGTTATTTAGTGAATTTTGTCATATATTTCTCAAAGAATTACTAGCTAGAGAGTATATTACAATGTAAAATGTGCAAATTACATGAAATCTCGATAGTTTAAAATACATTAATTTAATTACTAAAAGATTATCTTATAATTTGTTTATTCATAAGCGTTGTTCTAAAAATAAATTTGTTATTTAAAAAAAAAAAGTGAAATTAATAATTAAATAAGAGTTAAGTGATAGCTGAGGTGATGTGTTGGGAGTAAAGTAGGTGGTCTCAAGTGTTTATATATATATATATATATATATGTTTTTTTAATGATACTATATGTACTGCAGTAATTCCCTAATTAGCCCCCGATTAAAATAAATATACATTTATTCCAAAATTACCATCAATTATGGATTTTTTTTTAATAGAAAATCACTTTTTAACCTCTTCTTATACTATAATCTTTTTTTTATAAGTATTTTGATTGTTATATGGAAGAAAATCTACAACATGTTTACTCATTATAAGTGATGTTAGAATGAAAATAATGATAAAAGGAAAACCATTGAACCTCAAGGCAGTCTGCAAAAATGGAGGAAACAGATAATACTGAAGGCTAATTGGGCCATAAGTGGGCTGAAATTAGACATGAATGGGCCTCGTCTAAAAATCCAAATAGAAAAGAGAACTTAAGTAGGTCTAGGATGAGTTTACTTAACTTTGGTAATAATTTTCAAAGTTTTTTTTTTTTTTATTGCATAAATATAAATTATATGTTTTTCTTTCTTATTTTCTAAACATGAGTATTATTTTGTTACTTTTAAGCTTTTATTTTATATATATAGAGGAAATTATTGATAACATTTTTCGAAAATAATATATGGAATAATATTACCAATCAAAAAATTAATAATTTTCTTCCATAAAATGTCATAAATTAATACTTCAATCAATGATAGGTAATTTGCTGACACTATCAATGAGTCGTTATTCATTTCAATCAATGATATTAAGAGTTTATACATATATAGTCACCATTTCATCTGTATACGAAAGAAAATGTAAATTATGAAAGATAGAATTTAAATGTCGCTTTTGGTTTTGGACAATTAAAAATCTATTTGCTATCCAATTTAATAATTTACAAAAATTAGAAAGCAAAGCTTCCTTATAGTAGAAATTTTCAATATTTATAAATGTTCATAAAAATAGTATAAATTTACATTTATATGAAGTGGCACCATTGGAAAGATATGTCTCTTGAAAAAGAGAGAGGGAGAGGTGACAAACCAAATAAATAAATGTAAGGTTGGGATGGTTTAATTGTATGGAGAAAATATAGTGGTTAAGTTATCCCTTTCTTAATATTAATTAGAAGTTGTCAGTCCTTTCAATTAATTGATCATTCAAATCCTACACATATCAACATTGTTTTTACGAAGAACTATTTAATTGTTTTCATTTTCACCTTTTTATACCCTATTACATAAATGGGGGCCTCCCACTCTATGAGTCATCCTTTTTATAGTACCAGAATAATAGTTTAACCACATTCCACTCATTTTTTTATTGTAATGGGTGAAATTTATACTAACATTCCAGATGTGAAAGACAACCAAACATAAAATTTTAACCAAATTTTAGTGGGCATCCATTTTGATAATTGACAATTGTTTAAAACAAGTTAAAATTTAGATATTTTTTAGGAGTTTAATTAGTTTATTTAATTAGAAATAGGGTAGGATAACAAATAGGTTAATCTTATTTATGATTTCTATGAGGTTTATTTTATTTGTTTTATCTTTCGGTAAATAATTGTATTTTTATAAATACATGCTTTGAAATAAGAGCAGTAGTGAGTAAATTATTTAAAAGAAAAAAAAAAGCATCAATATTTTACCAAAAGTCTTGTATTTCTTTTAAGAAATCTTAGAGGTCTTAAATAAATAACTCCCTTTCAAAATTAATCCTAATTTTCCTAATGCAAATCCCAAATTAAAAAATTCCTTAAAGAGCTCTAGATACTTAAACATGTTATTAAAGTTACAGAATGTAAAAGATGTATCGTTATCTGTTAAATTAATAAAAAAATAAAATAACGAAACTGGGGTTATGTTTTAATTTCATGAAACATATGGGACTTTAATAATTTACTCCTCTCTGACAGGGATGAAGTTGGAAGGCGATACATTCTGATTCTAGTAAATCCAAAGTTATTCATTCAGCCTTAAAATCCAAGTTCTTCGTGTATTTGCCCCTATTTATCACGTGAAGATTAATACTGTAAAGTCTGAAAGTTAGGTCGATAGAATTATTTCTTAGCTTCCAGAAAACTAATACTATAAATTTTGAAAGTCAGATCAATAGAATTATTTCTTCATTTCTTGCAACGATGGCAACACTGAAAGCAAACCCCTCTTCCAAATGTTTCAAAATTTGTTTCCAAGTGCTTCTCCTACTTATTTTCTCTATCATTTTTGCTTCTGCAGGAAATATCATCACCCATCTCCCTGGTTTTGATGGTGAACTTCCCTTCTACCTCGAAACTGGGTACTTTAATTACTGTCTTCACGATTTCTGATAATTTTTATTAAACTTTAACGAGGGTCCTGAAGAGATGACTCTGTATCTAAAATAAAATAGATGTATGATTTTGTAAGTGATTTTTTTTTTTTTTCTTTTTAAGATATATTGGTGTTGGGGAATCGAATGAGTCGCAATTGTTTTACTACTTTGTGGAGTCACAGAGGAGTCCTTCACTTGATCCTCTTATGCTTTGGCTCACTGGTGGACCTGGTTGCTCTGCTCTCTCTGCTTTCTTCTATGAAAGTGGTAAGTTTTTATTGCTTTTATGCAAACCCTTTGAAGTGTTATTATTATTTTTTTCTCTTTTTTTACACCTTTTTAGTCTTTTATTTTCAAAGAAAATGTCCTGGAAAGTATTCCCATCAAAGGATATAAGAGAATATTCGAAACTCTTCCTGTAAAATGCAGTCTTTATTGATAGTATTATCCTCGTATATTATTATTGATAATCACATATTCATCCATTTAACAAACTTTTTTTTATACGGCCCAACATTATTCATACTGTATTAAAACTTCAGCATATTAATATAGAAGTTTGAATTTATTTATGCACGATAATTCACTTGGGAGCATTGAAATTGTTAATATTTTTGTCAAACTTATGTTAGGTAACACATTTTGCCAAGTGGTGTTTTCTCTTTGATTGTCTTGTTCATCAAGTTTATTTTGATTCATGATATTCTTGTGTAACCTAACTTTACATGTGTCACAATTTTCTTATATGGTCTTAAATTGTCTTAAAATGTTGTAAGACTTTTCTATGATCCCCCAAGAAAGAAAAAAGATATGTTTGTGGTCCAACAAAAAGTTGGAATTGTTTTTGTCCTCCATGTGTTCAGTTTTGTTAGACTTATGCCTTTTGCTTTTTCATGTTGTGTGTGCGCACGCTTTCTTGTTGTGCTAACATCGCATGGCTCACTTTGCACAAGTTACGTTTTTATCTTTATTAGCTGAGATATTTTTTTGTCCATATGTTGTGTTGTCATGAGGACGGTGTCTCAATATCCTCTTCTGGTCCAAGGAAATAAGCTTTTTCCTTTTTTGGTTGTGGTCCCAAAAGATAGATGAAATCTTTTCCATTTTTGGATGAAATCTTTTCCATTTTTGGACCAACATATGTCAGCCCTTGTTTGCTGACTTGGCAAGAACTTGGGAGTATGAAATTGACATATATCTTCTTCATTCTTGCTCATTTGTAAAGCTAACATGTGATATTTTTATTTGCTTGTGCTCTGAAATTTTCAGAGAGTTTTATTCCTCAAAGGTGAACGAAATAGAGATAGCAACGAGAATAAAATAACAACAAAATAAATCACAGAAAGTAAACAAAGAGAAAATAACATGCGCGATTTACCCTGGTTCACCCAATATGGGCTACGTCCAGCCGAGTCAATATTATTGGAATACTTCCTCATCTCTCTTGTTTATAATGAATGAATTGTCCTATGATTTACTATCACACTCATAACAAGAGAAAAATATGTTTATATAATAAGTTTAAGTGACAAAACCTAGTTTTACAAGGATTCATGTTCCTAAGCCCAACCCAAAAAAGAATTAATAACTTAAAAAAACCCTTCAACAATTATACATGAAAAAAGACCCAAACCGTTTATAGCCCCGGGGGTACTACCCCCACAACCCCCGTTTGTTCATCGAGGAGTGGGGTCCTCACCCGCTGACCGGGCAGCAAGACCCCTGAATGCGTCTGCGTAACCCATCAATGCTGAAGTAGTTGACAACTCCAACAAAAGGTTCACCTTATGTTATTGTGCTAAACACTTATCATCCTTCATCTTTGTTAAGCTAAAAGGAAATTCATCTTCTTCCTTGTTTGTTTTTCTTTTTTAACCTGAATATCTATTTCGTTGGTGCTCTGAACTTTTAGAGAGTTGTTCTTGGTTAGGTTTTTTTTTATGGGTTTGTGCTAGAAATTTTCTTGTTTATCTTCATTGTTGAATGGCGGCTGGAATGTGGTTCCTTTGCTAATGTTGGAGCATGTCTTCAGCGATTGAAGCTTGGGTGGAGCTCAAGCGTTTTCCAAGAGTGAACCTAGTGTGAAGAAATCTGTGGTGCAACAAGACATTAAGGATTCAAAGGGTGGTATTTAGTCTAACCAAAACATGGAGTTCTCTTTGTTGTAGCTAAAATCAATTTTAAACTATATCTTGTAATATTTGTTGATTGGTAGATTTGCTTCGATTTAGATGAGGTCTCATAGATGTAGGCTAAAAGTGGATTTAGCTAAACCATGTATATGTTTATGTGTTTTACATTTATAGCTTGATTATTATTGATTTGTTGTAAACCTGACTGTGTTAACACAACTTGGTAAATCAGTCTGTTGCGTCTTTAAAAATGGTTACCTAAACATTAAATAGAGTTCACCAACTCTAACAGAAATTATTTTATACTTATAAAAACAGATAAAGAAAATTACGAAGTACTATTTTGATTGATTTTCTTAGTTCAATTAAGAAAAATAATACACTTAGTAGTAGCCTCGAGGTTTTGTTTCTATTAAATAATAGTTTAATAATGAATCTTTAATTTATTAAAGCAATTCAGGATAAGTTATTAATGGGCCATATTTATGAAAATGACCAACATCTTCCCAAGTTTTATCTCCTATTTCTATTACATAATGGTTTAATAGTAAAGTTAATTTTATGAGTGATGTTATTTAAGCCCCACCAATTTTCTTTGTAGGACCCAATAATAATTTTCATATTTAGGGAAAAGACTATGTCAATAAAGTAACCACCTTTCGCAAGTTTTTTTCTCAATCTGTTTGCAGGTCCAGTTGCTTTTAATTATTCTAATTACAATGGGAGTTTACCATCACTCCAACTTAACCCTGATACATGGACTCAGGTACTGAAGAATAATATTCTCTAATCAAAATTAAAAACTGAGATCAATTTTTTTTTCTCTCTTCATGTTTCATTCTTGAGAGGCAATCGTCTTTTTTTTGCAGGGCATCAACATTATATATGTAGATGCACCAGTTGGCACTGGTTTCTCTTACTCAACAACCCAAGAAAATTACTATCTTAATGATACAAAATCTGCCGCACAAACCTACGAGTTCTTGAGAAAGGTATGTAAGGTTCCGTACATTTAACTATCTTAATCTTTTTAACATCCGGAGCTCAATTCATGTATAAAATGTTACGTTAGAAGTTCAGCCAAAATATTTATTCTTACAAATTTAAAAGTTCGGGTCTGGATTTTAATTTGTCTTTTACAAATTCAACAAATACCATTCACTCAACAAAGCGCTATTCACCGCTAACTATCATTTTTTTTCTTCCCAAAATACAATTTATTTATGAATATAGAGAATTGAAAATTAAAGAAACTAAAACTAAAAAGAATAAAAACAGTCTTTACTGATAAGTGATCCAAATTACAGAAATCAAGAATTCTCGACTGGAATGGATAGTTGTTTATTCATATTAATTGTTTTTCTGCAGTGGCTCCTTGAGCATCCACAGTTCTTAACAAATCAATTTTTCATTGGGGGCGATTCTTATTCTGGCATTTCTGTTCCAATGATAGTTCAACATATACTTGATGGTAAATATTTATTTTCCTGGTGACATATTCACTTATTTTTCCTTTTTTTTTTTTCCCGAAAACTAGAGCCTTTGTCATTTCTTGAAAGATTGATTAATTCATATTTCGATTTCCTTCAGGAAAGAACGAAGGATTTAAGCCAACCATAAACCTAAAAGTAATTTCCATCCTTTTTGTTTTCATTCTTTTTCTTGAAATTATATCCTATTATTTATACGCTCAAACACTATACCTGTTGTGATATGTTCATCTCACTTAAGATATTTTTTTTATAGTTAATGATTCTGAACTTGAAATTTCAAACTATTGAAAGGGATACATACTTGGAAATCCAAAGACGGATGATTATATTGACAGCAATTCATTAGTACCATTTGCATTTGGAGTAGCACTCATACCACCTGAACTTTATCTTGTAAATATATATCTCCAATCTCTTTATACAAATTTGTTTTCAATTTATATAGTTACACAAGCCAAATATTTTCAAAAACTATCATTTTAATTTCCAGGCTGCAAAATATTACTGCAATGGAGATTATGTCAACATAAATGAAAGCAATACTAATTGTGTAACAGCCATTGATGAATTCGACCAGGTCAGCAAAAAACTATCCCTTTAAAATCCATCACTGAGCTTGAGCCTATGAAATTACCGATTGTAATTTTTTTTTTTTTTTTTCATTTGTTTGATGCAGTTGGTTCTTCAAATAAATACTCTGAATATTTTGGAACCACGTTGCTATTCTACTAAACCAAGAAAAAGTATTGAAGGAAGAAGATCAGCTGAAGAGATTGAGCCTGATGAAATTCCCCTGTCAGAAATTAAATCTGGAAATGCGTATTGGTGCAGGGTACGTAAATTCAGCTCTCTCATTATTTTGTAGATTTTTTCCACCACTTCCAGGATTAAGTTACATAAAGAAAGATCTGTGATTCAACTTTCTTTCAGGGGTATAATTATGTGCTATCTGCCGTTTGGGCTAATGCTGAAATTGTCCGAGAAGCTCTCCATGTGAGAAAGGTATGCATTTATTTAATGTTTAGAGTGCAATTTTTTACACAGAAAAATCTTATGAAAACGTGTTTATTATTAAATGAGTTTGAAATGTTTTCGAAAATAATTTTTGGATAAAATCTAAAAACTAATTATCAATTTAAAACACGACTCAATTTCTATAACTTTTTAATCGAAAGTCATTTTTGAATATTATATCAAACAAATATTTTAATATTAAAATATGAGTAATTCTCTAATCAGAGCATTTTAATATTAATTTTGTCAACATTATGCTCATATACCATTTGATTTTTCTCATGTGAGTCAAAGAATATTTTAAATCTAATGGCATATATGCATGATCCTGACAAATTAATATGAAATCGTTTTGACTAAAGAATTATTAACTAAAATAACACTCAATTTCCTGAGTCGTATTTGAATTTTTAAAAATCATTTTCGGATTACAAAAACAAATGTATATGAAACAGGACACAAAAGGAGTGTGGAAAATGTGCAATATTTCTGGCCTAGCTTATACACAGACTCAATTAAGTAGTGTTGGTTATCATAAAAATTTTACAAAGTCAAGCCTTCGAGCTCTCATTTTCAGGTGACAACTCTTAACTTCTTCAGCGTTTATTGTTTCCTTCAAGTCTTCTCACTTTAATAAATCTATCATGATATTATTTAATCTATAATTGAAAAATGAATTACAAATTTCTTCTTCTTCCCCATCATTTTTCATGGATTACATTGTCAAATTTTATGCAGTGGTGATCACGATTTCAATATTCCACACATTGCCACACAAACTTGGATTCGTTCGCTTAATTTGACTATAAATGAAAATTGGCGAGCATGGTTTGTAGAGGGTCAAGTTGCCGGGTATGTCCGGCACAAAAGATCTGATAGGATAGAGTCTTGATATTTTTAACTAATTAATTATTCAATTTGTCTCATGTATGCAGATACACAGAGGAGTTAATTAGTAGTGCCTTTACTCTTATATATGCTACAGTGAAGGTAAGGCTCAACTCAATCATCTAATTAACTATGCTCTTCAAATGAATCTGGAGTCAATTCTTTGTTTTTTAAAATAGTAAAAATAAGGGATATAAGAAATTTAAGAAAATACACGTGGTTATAATTTATTTTTTTTTCTAAAAATAGTTTTATATGCAATTTTTAAAATTAGCCTAAACTTTAAAAATGAAAAAAAAAATGTTCTCTTTGTTTTTCATTTTTTTTTTTTCAAATTAAAATGGCTTTTGTCACTATATCAAAAGACAAAAGCATATTAGAATATTAAACGAGGAGAATATAATTCATATTTCGATATTTTGCATCATAATTTTTCAAAAAAAAAAAATCAGATAATGAACCAAAACACTTATATTTGTATCGCTTCTAATTCCAGGGTGCTGGTCATATTGCTCCAGAGTACAAACCGAAGGAATGTTATAGAATGATGGATCGATTCATGGCGTATTACCCTCTGTAATTTTTATTAGTTGCAGCTTAAGAATTTCGGTCACACTTTGTATAAGCATAAATTTTAGTATAAGCTCTTAATAACCTTAAGAGAACTGTGGAACTGAAGCCAATTTTGTTGTACAAGTATGTGTTTCATGGTAAAATAATATACTCTATCTATTGAAGGAAATATTCATAAAAACGTAGATCCAAGTCCAACCTACTTTGAATGAATCCATTGTATTGTTTCTATGCATGCTTAATATTATCATCAAAATATACTTTAAAATAAGGAAAATGATTTTTAGCCTTCACCATTTTCTTCTTTAGCCCCCATCTTCAACTATAGGCGAGGATATAAATGTAATAAAAACTGTTATTCTTCTTCCTACGTACTTTATTTCCTAAACTTCATATTTACAGTTATCGAAAAGTTAAATGGAATTGAGGTCAATAAGAATTCATTGTTTACAGCATGAATTAATTTTCAAATTTCATATCATCTTAGACCTAAAAAAAACACAAACTTCATTTGATCTCTTCTTTTGGAGAGTTTATTAGTTTCTTTCTTATTATTATTATTTTTTTTTCTTTTTTGAAGTTTATATTTGGGAAAGTTATTGAGAATTTCATTGTTTAAATAAAAAATTAAAAAAAAAAAAACTGATTATATAACCAAGGAGTTATTAGAACTTGAATCAAATAAGATGTTTATGTTAGTTTTTGGAGTATTTTAAGAGTTGTCCCCTTTAGAAATAGAAGATATTAATACGTGATGTTCATATTTTTTTCTTGAGTAATACTACATATACATCATTTTCATACAACATTTTCCATGCAACATTATGTGGCAAGATATGATTGGCTAATTTAAAATTAAAATTAAACTTTTACCCAATCATATTTTGCCACATAATGTTGTATGGAAAATATTGTATAAAAATGATGTATGTGTAATATTATTCTTTTTTCTTAATACTATTACACCCCTATCTAAGGTAGAAGATGGAGGGTTAAAGACAAAAAAATATAGATTATAAAAATCACTTTCCTTAAAATAATATGTACTGTCTATTGATGGACATATTTTTTAAAAAATGTGGATCCTTGAATTTGTTTTATAATTTTTGCGCTCGGAAGTAGGGAACCCAATTTTATGGGTTATGGGGCAACCCACTACAAACTGCCTCAACCCAATCCACCATCCCATTTCTTGAATCCAATAGTGGGTGGACTAGGTAGGATATGCTTGGGTTATGGGTATACCCAATCCAACCCACTTTCAATGAATATTGCATTATTATTATGGATGTTTAATATTATTGTCATAATATATTTTAAAATAATTAGTTTTGAACATAACTAATTAACTATCGTTAATATTATTATAAATAATTAAATATATATTTTTTTATTACTTAAAATATTATTTCAAAATAATTATGTGATGTAATTAAAACTAAATTTATGACAAACAATTAATTTTATAATCACTTGATCTAGTTTTTGTTAATAAAATCAATAAAACTCTTTTAAAAAATGTTGAGAGAAATATTTCTATAGCATCCTCTCATTAAAATTAAGAGTGATATATATTTTATAAAAAATTTGATACAATGAATATGAATTCTGTCCTTTTTAAAATGCATTAAATGTGTAAATTATATTAAATGTGCAAATCTTAATAGTTTAAAATATATTAATTTAATTACTAAAAGATTATCTTATAATTTGTTTATTCACAAAAGTTGTTCTAAAAATAAATTTTTTATTTAAAAAAAAAGTGAAATTAATAATTAAATTAAGAGTAATTAAGAGTTAAGTGATGAATGAGGTGATATGTTGGAGTAAAGTAGGTGGTCTCAAGTGTTTTTTTTTTTTTTAATGATACTGTATACACCCCACTAATTCTCTAATTAGCCCCCGTTTAAAATAAATATACATTTATTTCAAAATTACCATCAATTATGGAATCTTATATATATATATATAGAACTTAGAATGATAAAAGGAAAATTATTGAGCCTTAAAGCTTAAGGCAGTCTGCAAAAATGGGGGAAACAGATAATACAGAAAGGCCAATTGGGCCACAAGTGGGCTGAAAAAGAGAACATTTCTAAATACACTTAGCCTTTTCTCTATGAATACACACTAAAGTGGGTCTAGGATGAGTTTGCTTAACTTTGGTAATAATTTTCAAGATTTTTATTTTTTTTATTTTAATGCATTAATATAAATTATATGTTTTTCTTTCTTATTTTCAAAACATAAGCATTAATTTGTCCTTTTAAGTTTTTATTTTATATATATAGAGGAAATTATTTATAACTTTTTTCAAAAATAATATATGGAATAATATTACCTTTCGAAAAATTAATAATTTTCTTCTATATAATGTCATAAATTAATTATTTCTTTATTCTAAATATATATAGGTTTAAAATTACACTAAATTTTACGGTTAGATGAAAATTATTTACAACTATTTTGACATTAAATAGATGATAATTTTTCATGAGCATAACTTTGGAAATATTAAAATATTAAACTAAATATTAGATTTACACAAAAAAAAAAAAAAATTATTATAATCTTATTAGTTAATTTGTTGGCACTATCCATGAGTCGTTATTCATTTCAATTAATGATATTAAGAGTCTGCACATGAAAGAATTTAAATTGTCGCATTTGGATGATAAAAGATCTATTTGCTATCCAATTTAATGATTTACAAAAATTAGAAAGCTAAGCTTCCTTATAATAGAAAATTTCAATATGTTGAAAATGTTCATAAAAATAATATAAATTTGCATTTATATAAGGTGACACCATTGAAAAGATATGTCTCTTGAAAAAGAGAGAAGGAGAGGTGAACCACTGGCTAAGTGGTTGAATATGGGCTCTTAAGGTATTACTTAAGAGGTTTTAAATTCGATTCGCTTCGATTATTAATAGGAGTTACCACTAAAGGTTTACCCAATTATCAACTTTAAGACATTAGAGATTAGTTGAGGTGCGTTCAAATTGACCTGGATACTCTGGTAAAAAAAAAAAAAAAAAAAAAAGGAGAGGTGACAAACCAATAAATAAATGTAAGGTTGGGATAGTTTAATTGTATGGAGAAAATATAGTGGCTAAGTTATCCCTTTCATAAAATTAATTAGAAGTTGTAAGTCCTTTCAATTGATTGATCATTAAAATCCGACACATGTCAACATTGTTTGTACCAACTATTTACTTGTTTTTAATTTCGCCTTCTATATCTTACATAAATGGAGGCCTCCTACTCCTGAAGTCATCGTTTTTATAGTACTAGGATAATTAATCTTTAACAATGACATTGGTTGACTCTTTACTTATTTTTAATTCAAAAATTATTTTGTGTAAAAATCTTGATTTTTTTTTTTTTTTAAAACCTGAATCAATCGAATAAGTATTCTTAGTGTAAAAAATATATTAAAGATAAAATTTTAATCAAATTTTTCAAATCAACAATCATAATATACATAATATATCGAAAGATAAAGTTTTAACCAAATTTCTTAAAGGAATATAAAAAACATTGTCTTTTAATAGATTTCTTATATGAAAAATATTGGTCCGGATTTTAAAAATCAGAACCTGCACAAAAGAGAATGACTCTTCTAATATACATGTATATATATCACTACATAAATTATCATTTATATTTTCTTAGTATTAAGTTTGGCAGCCGAATACAATGCACATTGGAAAGTTGGTAAAGAACAACCTACCTCCAATAGTTCCTCCTAACATTCCCTAATTTTCTTAATGCAAATCCCAAATTAAAAAAATTCTTGAAGAGCTTTAGATACTTATAGATAATATTAGAACTCAAAAGCTAGCTTTATTTGGACTTAATAAACCTACCAAAACCACATATAGTATAGTAGTTAAACTTATCACATCTTCCTAAACCACACAATGAAAGTTCTTAAATAAATGAATGAATAATTAATTAATTTTATGTTCCAAAAGTCTATTAATAAGTTAAACAAACTTCAACCCATTAGAGACAAGTTTTAACATTAAATAAATTACAAACCTCATTGTTCAACTAACACATAAATTGGCATGCATGAGAAGTAATATTAATTAATTAATTTTCAATTTGGTATTAGTTAATTTAATTTTGTTTTGTTTGGAGCAAATGCATGTTTTTGCCGACCCCATTATGAAAAGGCAAAGGCAAGTCTACCTGTTGTTCATCCAATGCCATGTGTTATTGTTTTGAATAAAATGTGAATTATTAGAACAATTATTTATTTGTTGAAGTTGATATATAAATCTAGCGGAGAATCCTTGTCGAAGAACTTGTTCTTAGCCTCATGAGATGCCATGCCAGTTGTAATAAAATTAATAAACTTTTTTTTTCTTTCTAATATATATATATATAATTAATAATATATCATCAGGTGAATATTAATATTATTTTAGCTATAAATAAAAGATTAATTTATGAGAGATAAACTTATTAATTAATGTGTAGGAGCCTCTATTATGGTTCAGTTGAGACATGGACAAATTTACTCCATTGATTTAATTTACTTTTTGTTGATCAGACGAATCCTAAGTTCTAATAATATTAAAGAATTTTAAAAGAGATTCCTGATTAATTTTAAAACAAGTTTAATGAATTCTGAAATTCAATTGTCATCCCAAGTTTTTAGAAGTAATTAAAAACAACCCTTATAAGAGGATATTTAATGATTTTTTTTTTTTTTTTAAATAAAAAAGTTTCATTAAGCTTTAATAGCTTTTGATAGTTTTAAATAACATAAAATTTAAAAAATCTCTTAAAAACATAAAGGAGTAAAGGATCGCCACTACAGAAATCTTATTACTATTACTCAAACAAGTGATATACCCTAATTTCAATAGTATTGTCTATTCAATTGTCTTTTACAACACAAACCTCTTACAAAATGCCCTCTGATAACTTAATTTATAAATATAAGAAGGATGCCGAGCTATAATCTCATTTTAAATAAAGACTCATGTGATTTCGACAAATCTAGCCAAAGCTACAAGAGAACCCATGAATAGTAATGTATTTACTACATATACAAATTTTTCACATAAACTAATATGTTTTAATGTGATTGGATGATTTTAAATTAAATAAATTAGTGTAGAAGATATATCCAATATATAAAATTGTCACATCAGTTTATAAAAGTAATTTTTTTAAATTAATTTATATATATAATATTACTCCATAAGTATTTTATTGCGAATAATTTGTGATGTTCCTATCAATAATTAGAAATGACTAGAATAATTTGATAAAAACACACGTCATCTGCTCCTACTTTAGCTGCAAAATTTAAGTTTAATTAATAGTGGTAAAAGACTATATCTAGGTAAACTAATATGACTAAATAGAACAGTGAGGGAGTCAATTTGAAATTCCATAATATTAAATAATAAAAAAAAAAACATCAGCTTAAAAGGTGTTCATAATAAAATTAATTAATAATGTAGATCAACCACAAGTTTATATGGCTGAAAAAAAACAACAAAAATTATAGGAAAGATATTATGAATTTTAGTGAATTTATATCTGGCATGGGTTCCATCAAAGACAACTCCACAAGCTCATCAGGCTTCCTCAGACATGACAGCACGGCCATCTTTTTCATTGATCTAATTGTAGAGGATCGTAGGCCATTAATACCTTTCCATAATTCGGTTTTAATTATAAATTTCATTTAATTTAATTAAAATTATACCTTTAATCATCAAAAACATAAGTCACAGTAATGAGACAAACAGAGTCACAATGCATTACAATAAATCTTTTGATTATATATATATTAATCTGAGATCAAAATTTTGATTAGTTAAATTTTGACATGATTCATTGAATTCAAATTGATAATTAAATAGTCTTGTATAAGAAAAACAAATAATTATTTTGATGTATGAATTAAGGATACATTAATATTCTTAGATAACAACTTTGCCGACTATGTGGTCACGTGACATCAATGAAATATTAAATGATAAGTTCCTTTTCGCAATTTCATTTGTAGGCTAATTAATGATCCTTAATTCAATAAAACATTTTTTTTTTTTTTTACTGATTTTAAATATATTCTTCAAATATTACTTGACAATAAGACAATATAATGCAAAAAATCACATTTAATATAAGAGTAATGTTAAATTTTCCAAATAGTATTTTATCACAAATAATGCATAATGGTATAGTACATTGACATGAAAATGATAAATGAATTTGATTGTTTTAACTTTAAATACACAATTTTTAATACATTGGTATAGTTAATATTTTGTTTGTGGTCATAATACCTGTTCTTAGAATAAACATTAAGACAACTCATGATAAATTGATATAAGTATATCATGATGTTATAGAAGACGACACATTTCTTGAGATAATAATTTTAAGATGTTCATGAGCATAAAATGATTTCAAAAACTTTTGGCAGAATAAAGTAATAAAAATCATATCTGTTATGCCTGGGGAAAATAGGGCTGACATAGCGCCCAGTTAAGTGTGAAAGGTCAGACCTCGGGAAGAGTCCGTTGACATTCTGGCGCAGTCACGTTGCGTGATGATGCAAGCAGCACACTCCTGTCAGTACAGTGGGTGCGCGCCAGACTGAAGAAATGCTAGAGGATGTACACGTGTCCAATCCCTACAACAAATCGCATGAATTACTCTAGAAGGTGGGTAATGTGACATAAAGAATGATTTGCATGGATAATACCACCAACTCACAGATTCAGTGATGATTGCCTTAATCCATCCCACTATAAATTGAGAGCTCCACTCTCATTCAAGGGATTCGCACATTTTACTCTTGATGGGCTACCATCTCTCTAGAATATACAGTATTTGATACCTTGTATTATCATTGTAAAGTCAGTCGACTAAAGCGACCTGACCCTTATCATTAATACAAACAGCAATGGATATATGACTTGTTTCCTTAGCATCCAAACTACTTTAAAACTCCTTTCTCACTGTATTTGCTCTCGATTCTTTTACTTTCACTTGTGTCTTCTGGACCAGTTCAGCATCTCACACGTGCATTCCGTTGGTGTCAAAATCATGCATCAACAATATCCAATCTGCTTCTACATGTTAAGGCTAATTGTGCTAAAAAGTTGAGTGTGAATGGACTCTGTAGGATCAATGATTCATTGCCAAAATCACATTATTAATTAATTGATTAGTGAATGATTAATTCATGAGAACCCACTTTTTTCTCACCATTCATTTGACATTTTCCAACTTAGCCAAACCTTTTTCCTGTTGGAATTTCCTGAATCGTTTGCAAAATCAAATGCATTGATCAAGTGTTAAAATTAGTTGTCTAACATCAATGGAGTCTAATCAACATTTTAATCACAACTACAAATATCTAAACATTGATAAGGACTGATTTATATGATATGTAATGACCCATTTTCGTATAACACGATATTATCTACTTGGGTCCGGTCATATCTAAGCCGAATATAAAATTATTGCAATGTCACCATTGAGGTTTGTCACTCTCGAATGACGTTTCTGTCAGGTAAATGTAATGGTTCAAGGGGATGAAATGATAGTTTGAATGAACTACATGCAATTTTAGACAAACTAGATAAGGGGTTGACTGTTTATTATAATTTTTTAATGTCAGCCATTTACTAACATCCAACTGTTTATTCAAAATATCTTTTCTACCCCTTAAACTGTTATATTTAAGTGACAGTATCGGCACTAGTGTTCCAAAATTGGAAAGAAAACCTCAGGTAGGGTGACAAAGTAATTAACTTTATAAGATTAGACAATTCACCCTCATCTCATCCAACTTCACCTTCTACATCTCAGGACAGGACTGGAGTTGAAGATCTTGGGTGCCATAATTTTGCGATACTTATATTTACATGAGGACAAAATAAGAATATTACAATTTTCTTAAGCATCTGAATTACTAGCCTTAATTAAGAACTTCCAGTGGAGATTGAAAAGGAGGTGTCACATTCATATTCTAGATCCTCAAATCCCCAAAACTCTTGTTGATCTTCTTCTTCCTTTTCAGGCATTTTCCACCTCTCTTTATCTATCTCTTCTTCAGTCATCACCTTCAATACCTATCAATTCACAGAAATTAACAATGTCAACTGCTAAGTTTTTAATTGGAGTAAAGAATGGTTTGGCTCACCATGAATTCATGCATATCATGATGAGAAAACACACACACCTTGGAGTAAAATTTGATATGACAAAAGTAGTTATATTGTACGTTTGCTTTATGTGATTCATAAAAAGAAAATGAGGACCACAAGACACAAGCTCAATTAATTTTATAGTTTTTTTTATGAACCCTTTTTCGGATAAACGTACATGTCAAATATCAACACCCTGGCAGACGATATACTACTTTTTTAATTTTTGTTTAAACATCGATATATAATAAAACAACCAGATTTCTTTAACCAGACAAAGCAAGATTCTGAAAGAAAAATCTTTTTGCTTTAACCGATGAGCAGAAATTACGACCAAACGCAAGAATAATATCATATTAAGGGAAAAAAGATGAAAGAATAGTGAGTCAAATTAAGGCCCTTGTTTAAATAATCATATCCTTAATCTTCTAATCACATGGGAGGATTATATTTTACTATCTAATTTAGCTTAAAGATTTAGGTTAGGTAGGCTTGAACATCCTTGACTGATTCATGAATTGCGTGAAAAAATAACACAAAATGAACCACCACCAACACCAGAAAAAAAAAAAAAAAAATGTCCAAATCTATGTTTCATGCTGCAGTCCCAAGTCCAAAACAGTGAAAATGATATGCAAAGTCATAGCAAGCAAACAACCAAATTGATATCAATCAGACAGTCAACTGAAAGGTATCAAATTTGTGATGTAATGATCCTTATCACCAAACAGTTTAGTCTGCAGAATAAAAATGTAATGCATTTGAACGTTCTACATAAGGGGAGTATAAAAAAAATAAAAAAATGACCACTTGACAACATGAATAAAATATCTGTCATAAAATACTGGTTGGTAAATTTGTGAAGCAAAAAACTTGAGTAAAATGTATACGAATTAGGGGTCACCCAGATGTCTTTTAATGACAAAATCATTCCATGATTTCAGAAACAATGTTTCTCATCTAATTTATTGGCTCGTTTTTATAGTACCGTAAAAAATTTTATTGCACGATTGTCATTCTTTCTTACCGACATCTTGGTCTTTTTGAAATCTGGATCTGAATTCTTGCAGTCAAACCAGAATGTCTATGATATGAGAATTACTGGTAGTAGTTTTTTCTATGTACCTCACTCATGGTTGGGCGCCACGTGGGAGATGCGCGGATGCAGAGAGAGGCTGCAAAGGCAAGCTTATTAAGCTGAGTAACATCATAGGTCCCTTGGAGCCTTGGATCTACCAGCTTGTCAAGTTCTCCTTGGTTCAAAATTGGTTTGGCCTGTTTCATTCAATAATTAAGAACTATTAAAAAGCTGCCTAATAATTGAATAACTTTCACTAAAGTTTTGGTTGCTGAACTCTACAAGAAACACAACAAAGGGATTGACTAACGAAGCCCGAAATTAATGGCAAATTCAATTAAACTTTGTGAAAAAACTTTATGGATATTGACATTACCCAGCTGTGTAAGCTTAGGTGAGAACCGTCCACCGGTTTCCGGCCGGAAATGATCTCCAGTAAAAACACCCCAAATGCAAAGACATCTGTTTTCTCATCCACTATTCCATGCATGAAGTACTCAGGAGCCAAGTGCCTACCATAGAAATTCAATTTCAGTACAGTACTTGAAACTTACTTCCTGGCTTTGTCCCAAAAGTTTGTGAAGATTTGGTACCCAAATGTGCCTTCAATTGGAGCAATTGAATGGTGACTCCATTGAGCTGGAAGCCATTTCGCCAATCCAAAATCAGAAATCTAAAACACCAACCAACGTCAAAATTTTGTCACATTAAAAATATTGAAATTCTAACATGAATTTGATCTAGAAGTTAAGACTGAAACTCCAAATGGGTCACCTGGGGTTCAAAATCTTCTGTCAATAAAATGTTTGAAGACTTGATGTCTCTGTGAATTATCCTTCTTTGACAGCCTTTGTGCAAATAATTCAAACCTCTTGCTGTTCCAACTGCAATCTTATACCTTATTTTCCAATCCACTGGAGGCAAATTCACATCTGCAACAAAACAAGCAAAAGATTAACCATATCTTTTTGAATCTCGAGACCTCTTATACAATCTCAGAGATCCAATTATTGAACAAAATAATCAAAATACAAGAATTTTTGTTGGAGTAAGATTGAGTACCATGAAAAAGTGAAGCAACTGAGCCTCTAGAGAAGAATTGAAATATGAGATAAAGGCCATTGTCAATACAGCAGCCAAGAAGAGACAACACATTTGGATGAGAAACATGGCCAATAGTTCCAATTTCTGTCAAGAAATCCTTCTCTTTTCTGTCATCCGTTGAACATTTTGTAAGCCTCTTCACAGCAATCTCTTCTCCATCTTGTAAAACTCCTTTATAAACCTCAGCATATCCTCCTCTGCCAACCAAATTCTCTGCAACCCACATGACAAAATCAAAACTTGAATATAACAACCAACAAGACAAGCCTAAAGTTCATAACTTTGATGAAATTTTATGAGCCAAACCTGGGCTGAAACCATGGGTGGCAGCAGAGATTTCTTCAAAAGAGAAACATCTCCAAGTTGGTCTTGGAGAAGAACTCTTGGTTATTCTAAAACTTCCTTCGTTGTTGTTGTCATCTTCAATGGACTCATGTGGACTTGAACTTGCGGAAACATCTTCATCAAAACCTCTTCTTTTTAAAGAAAACAAGCGCTTCAAGCTATTGGTTCTTAAATACTTCATTGTAAGTAAAGCATTAAAAATTCAGCTCTATTTTGAGAAACAGAGCACTCTGTTTCATGCAGAGAACAGAGAGTAAGAAACACAAGAAATTGTCTCAACAAAAACGAAAACAAAGAGAGAGAGTCAAAGGGTATATATTAGTGAGGTGGGCTTGAGAGCAGAGGATAATTAATGCATGGAGTGATTCAGATAAAAGGAGGAGGTTGGATAGGCTGGCTCGATTGTCTATTTATGCATTTTGACACTAAAAAGGAGAAACAAAAAATTGATGAAACAATGAGCTCATTGATTTGAGAGGGAAATTTTAGGCAGTGGGGTTGGTTCTGTGGCCTCACTCTGGTGGGGTAGATAACTTGCTTTTTCGCAGTTCAAAACTTTGGCTCTCTTACATCCACAAGTGGAACATTTTTTTAGTTCTTTATGCATAAAAATAAAGGCAATTTGGTTAGGAAAAACCGGACCAATGTCAGAAGAGAAAGTTGTAGAAGCATGTAAAACCGAACCGATGTTTTGGACACATGTCGTGATGAGGCCTACAACAGTTGCACCAACAACTGTAGTTAGTACTCCTAATATGTTAATGTACTAGTCTTAAAACTTAAGAAGGTGAATGCGTATGGGGCTGACCAACGTAAAAGCTAGAGTTTTTTGTTTTTTTTTTTTTTGGTTACTTTGTCTCATTAAAATTCACGACGACATCATATAATTGATTCTGAAATTATAAAGAAAATTATTTGTCATATATATTTTCCATTAAAAATTTCATTGGTGTATCTAAATGAAATATAAATATACACAAAATGTAGATGGATTGTCTAATTTTTGAAAGTTTGTAAGAGCATCAAACTTTTTTGAAATTGTTATGTGGTCTCTGTCAAGCTCAGGCCAACGCGAGAATATAGCTTCACCTAGGATAATCTTGACAACTATAATTAATCAATCCAGCATAAGCTTGTCAAGCGGTAGCTCGATCCAACACAAGCTAGTCGCGGATAATCCGAGGAATCAATCAATCAATCTCCATATTACTTCAGATCTCGGATATCGCGGGAATAATTGGATTAACAGTTGTCGTTACGCGATCATAGCGCCCAATGGCAAGGATATCGGAATTATGATTCAAATCATTTGTAATCCCCTTAATTTCGCTCTTTCCTTTATGAAAATCTTGTATATGAACCCCCTAAAATGATGAGGAGGGGGATGCAAATTCTGGATAAAAACTACATAGTAAGCTCTCACAATATATACAAAAAACCCAGTGGACGTAGGTTGTTAACTTTGCCAAACCACTTTAAAAGTCCTCTTTCTTATTTATTTTCTGGCGTTATCATTCACTCATTGCTAATTACCCGTAATCACATACATATCAATTCCGATCCCGACAAGGTCAATCGGATCTCACTGGTTGGTGCAGAATTTTGTATCAACAAAAATAAATAAATAATTTTGCTGCTTGTAGAATCAAAATGCAATAGGGTATTTTGAAGTGTTTGTATAAATTTAGTTATAAATTCATTATCATGACAAAAATTAAGATTCATATTTCCTAGGTAAGATTCTTTAGACTGCTTTCACATGCACAAGAAGACTTTAATTTAAAGGAAATGCTAGTCAAAAATATCAAACTCAATCCTGTATATAACTATGAGTATCAACTTCATTCTATATAATATTTATAAAATAACCAATGAGTTGTGCATACTTTTAACCTCATCAATAAAAGCATCTTGTGAATCCACAGCCTCTTTAATTAATATCATTATTCAAAGGTCTAACATGCATTACATATCTCAATTAAATTTAAGAAGGGTCAAACTACAGTTTCGAAAAATATTTATTTTCTGAATATAAATAAATGACATGACTATAATAATAAATTCGATAAATTCAACAATAAATTTACGTATATAACATACGCATGTTATACATTAGCGTCTTAACATAAATTTAAGAATTAATATTTATTTAAAAGTATAACTTGTAATACAGAGTGTCGAATGATATAACATGTCTGTTATATATTATAGTCTTAACTTAAAATTCAAGAATATTTATTGGACAGTATAAATTGTAATATAGAATGTCAAACTATATAGTATGCATGTTATACATCACTATCCTAACGTAATATTCAAGAATCTTTACTGGATAGTATAAAGTGAAACATAGAACGTGAAATTATATAATATGCATGCATGTTATACTTTATCTAACTATCGTAAAATTCAAGAATTTTCATAATAATAAAAACTATTAAAACTTTTAATTATTCTAAATTTGTTTTACTTGAAATTCGAGCTAATCTCGGTAGGCATGGCTGGCGTATTGAGCGTGGATTAAAATTAGGAAAAGTCCATCACGAGCAAACAATTAATATGCTTAATTTCTACTCTTTCGAGGGATTTACGTGAGTGAACCAAGGGAATAAAGAACTAAACACATAATTAAATTAATAATATAAATCTTGTGCATGCTAGTTTTGTTCATATCGAAACCTCTAATTTTACATAAGTCTCAAAGGTTTGTTGTGCGATGATGCGCGATCGGCTTGGAGAGCGCGGTAGCCTAGAGCAAGCCGGTTAGTCAAGTGAATAGACCTACGGGTGTAGGCTATCCCCACTCGGACCAAGACATAACTTTTATTTGTTCAAATAACAATTAAGGTTGTTGATACAGAAATTTGCACCAACCAACAAAATCCGATCGACTTTATCGAGATCGGAACTGATATGTGCGTGATTTCGGGTAATCAACGATAGGTGAATGGTAATGCTCGAAAATAAGTGACAAAGAGAACTTTCAAAGTGGTTCGGCGAAGTTAACTGCCTACATCCATTGTCTTTCGTTTATATGCTGTGAGAGCTTACAATGTAGTTTTAATCTAGAATTTGTATCCCCCTCCTCCTCGTTTTAAGGGGCATATATACAAGATTTACATAAAGGAAAGAGCAAAATTAAGGGGATTACAAATTATTTGAATCACAGTCCCGATATCCTTGTGATTGACCGCTATGATCGCGCAACGATAACTGTTGATCCAGTCATTCCCGCGATATCTGGGATCTGAAGTGATCTAGAGATTGATTGATTAATTCCTGAGATTGTCCACGACTAGCTTGTGTTGGGTCGATCAATCATAGTCGTCAAGGTCACTCTGGGTCGAGCTATATCCTCGCGTCGGCCTGAGCTTAGCAGAAAAATCACACACAACATTTGCCCCCTAGTGTTCGATGCTCGTTTCGGGCTTCGAAGACTATCGCTCGATCTAATGCCAAGCTCGGCTTCAATAGTGAATCTCTGAGAGCATGCTCGATCGGGCTTCCACGGCCGACCTTACGTCTGGTCGACGTTCTTCACACTTGGACATTATTACCTGTGCCACCTGTTAAAACTCAGAATACAAAAAGTCAGGGTATAAAATCTAATTTTTGCGTGGTCATGTCGCATTAAATGCGGCAACCTTTGTCAGTTAAGTTTCATCGCGCGTGGTCGATGACAGTTGTTCACACGCGAAGTTGAGACATCGTGCAGCAACTTTTTAGCGATTCATCCACCTCGTGGATGGTCGACACGTGGCCATGTCCAAGGGCTGAGATCACTCAACGAATGAAGGGCTAGGATCAGCTGTGAGTCGATGGTCGAGATTGAACTTCGCCCTTTCTTCTTCCATGCAAAAATCACTATAAAGGGTGGCGAATATTTAGAACAATCATTCTGAAAGTTCTTCCACCCTCATGCTTTTCTTTGTCGTTGCTCTCACGTCGGTGGTCTTTCTTACGAGTTCTCAGCTCACTTCTTTATTCCGGTAAGACTCATTTCTCTTCCTTGCTCATTTTTTTTACTTTTGTGCTAAAGGGTGGTTGCTGTAATGGCCACATTGGATGTTTTAAGATTTTAGTAGGGTTTTTGGGGTGCATTTTTTACGATCTCAGGTTTTAAAGGGGTTTAATCGTGGTGGTCGCGGGTGTCCTGGGTAGATCGCTTGACTTCGCTGTGTTGCGCGAGCTATTTTGGGTGCCTGAGATGGAAGCGAATGTGGAATAGTCGCCGAGTTGTTCGAGCTCTAACACATGTTCGCTTCTTTTTTCAAGTATCCAAAGTCGAGCTATAACCATGTCCTCGTCTAGCAGTCACACAATAGCTCGAATGTTCGATTCATCGATTGGCCCGATAGTACTAGGGGATGTGTCCCCCGAGATATCTGAAGAGTTTATTGCCAGAAGCTCGGACCCCGACACTGTGGGCTTGTCCGACCGTGCTTCGATCCAATTGGCTCAATCCCCGTCGTCTCCAGTTCACAAGCTACGGAAAGAGCCACAATCCTCAATCACCCTCGGGGATCTTGAACTCATCAAGGCAGCTTGTGCGCCGCAGCTCAACCTGATGGCCCCGAGAGAACACTCTTGGAAAAACCCTCCAGCCGAATGGGTGGCAACTTCCGAGACTCTCCTCAGGTGCGAGGTATCCATTCCCTCACACCCTTTCATCGATAAAGAGTTAAGGAGATTCAACATCGCTCCTCTCCAACTGATGACCAATTCCTACTTGATCATTACCAGGGTATACATTGCGTACATGATCACTAAGCTAGGCGGCCGTCCGGCGAAGAGCTTGTACACTTGTATAGGCTCAAAAAAGGGCAAGATCAGACATACTACCTTTCCAAGGCGAGGAAAGTACGTTTCAGAGGTTTTCCCTGACTTTGTTCATGTCAACAAACAATTCGAAATGCCTTGACTTTTTTAGAACAAGTCCGGGTCAAATAGTAATGACAGCCCTACCCCCATAGGTCTGTTCACTTGACTAACCATTCCAAACCTACACCTGTAGGTCTGTTCACAATTGGAGCAAGTTATTATACAATTATATTTCAAATTATGGATAAGCATTATCTCCTAAAATCAAGGAGAAGATCACGGGAACAATTCTATAGTTTCGGCCTTTCAACCATGTCAAGAATCGTGGAATTAACTTTGAAAATCATGTCATTATCCTTAGAATTACTCTTGTAATAGTTATATTTACATAGTATAAAAACCTAGGAAAAATCAAAGGGATTCGAAAATCTGAGGAGGAGAGACCATCATTGTGAGGCAACAACACAATTTCTTTGTAACAACCTCATAAACATCTTAATAGCATAATAGTATATGTAGGCTTGATTTCAAATCACCGAACCACTTTA